GGTTTCGACCCCTCTCCTCTAGGATCTCGGAAATTCACCGGCTGATTTTCAAAATTCAAACGGCGTTGGATAGCCCCAACGGGGAACTACCTTGTGACCCAATTTCATTGACCTCGGTCCAACCGATTACGTCACAGTTCAGGTCAAAGGTCGCATTTTTACCGCTTACGGGCATTTCAAGAAACGTGTTGTGAAATCGAGTAAATTGGTATGTTATTGTAAATCATCGGTGGATAATTGTTCGTCAAACACATATTTTGCTATCTAAGGTCATTCGTCAATGACACCAGGTCAGGTCACAGAGGTCAGGTCACTGAGGGTCACAATATGAAAAATGAAAATGTCGTGTGATACTTGTTTTATGGTCCATTTTACATGACAAATGCGATTATGTGGGTAAGACAGCCTTTGGGGTCAGTTTAGGCTATGTTCTGGTGAAGGTCAGGTCAAGGTCAGGTCAAATAAGGTCAAGTTTCAAAGTTGATATTTTTGCATAAAATTGGTATCGATCCGAAGCAGCTCGTCACGGGGAGTCTACTGGTGGTCTTTGTTTTGCGCTACGTGGTCTAGAATTGCTAAAAATTGAGTTTGAAAATTTGACGTCATCATTTTTGAACAGTTTTCTCGATATAACCTGGCCACAAAGAGGCAACGATCTGAGATTTGGTATGTGGATAGAAGACTGCACGGTGACTATAAATACTGGAAGACTGTAGGTTCTATTATATATATTCAATTTTTCCAAATTTGAAAAGCTTTTGGGATTTTTTGGCTATTGTATCCAAAAGTTACTTTTTATTTTGGGTTAAAATTAAAAATTTCAAAAATCGGAGATAGCAGTTTTATAGCCCTGTTAATTCTTCACCTTTTATGTCATGAACATTTTTTATGAGTCTTGAAAGCTGTAGGCCTGACAGTTCTTCTCGCGAAACCTTTTTTGTGGAAAATGGCAGAACATGACGTCATTCTGACGCCATTTGTGGCCAACCCATCATAGCCTCTGGACGATTTTTTTATCACAATGTGTAAAATTGATGCCCGGAGGGGTCCTGAAAGTTTGGTGGCGATATCTGCAGCCGTTTAGGAGATATCTACGGAAAAAGACGGGGAGGGGGGCGTTTCGTTCCTCCCTACGGGACGCGGGTTAATCATCCAGCCCAGATCCGACACTGCATAGGTACCTACTCCGGATATAACTATTGTGCTTAACTTACCTTTCAATTTTGACGATCGCGCCGGTTCTCACCGAAACTATAACTCAAACTTCTGACAAGTTGGGCAGCTCACTCCAACCGCTTTCATCTTGTGCTTTGCTTAAATATTCAATTATTATGCAGTCATGTGCACTGATCAATGTTCTGTTTACCATGAGTCCGGGCAAAAAAAAGGGCAAACATGAATCAGATATTAACCACAATCCAACCAATTAATAGCAGACAACACCAATTGATGCACTGCCGCGACCACATGGCTCGATCCGGCTCAGTCTATGATTGATCAGCTGACGCCACAGCAGAAGAAACATGGCGATGTCAACTTCGATGGACGGACCAAATTATCATAAAATCTTATTTATATGCAACAACATAGCCTATAACTGATACACAAGGTAAATAAAGCAAATTTGTGGCAAAAACTAAGTTCTGGGGGTGCTAAGTGCAATAGTTTTAAGGAGAATATAAGAGAAGTGACCACGAAATAAACAGTTTTTATTCTCCGGTCGGAGAAACAGGAAATTCAATAATATTTTGAACCAAGCCATGAAAATTGCATTATTGAGCTATTAAAGTAAGCAGCATGAATCTATCTTCTTGTAGAATGCAAAAAAGTGGGAGAAAACCGTTTTGGTATCTGAAAATTTTCTGGTCCCTGAAGACCTATTTTGCGGAGAATCCTAATAATGGTGCAGCCGTGTTTGGAACAAGTTTGTGCGCTATCGGGATTATATCTTCTTGTGCTCTTTTGATAGAACTATGGAGGAGGTGCAAGGGAAGTTGTTGATGCCCTTTATATTTATTACTTTAATTTCTAAAGCCCTTTTCTAGACGCCTCCGGGGCAACGAACAACGGCAAAATTTAACGTTTTTGAAATAAACCGTACAGAAAAACCGAGGTTACAGAGTTCCCCATAGATGCCGTTACCGGTTTGATAGAATAGAAATAGAATCATAGGGTTAGAGCTGACAGTTTTACCGCTTTGTGATGCATGCACTTTGTGGGACCGTAATATTAGGCTTTATCGCAGCCTTATTTTGTCTTTTTTGTTGTTGCTGACAATGAAACAATTTATACTTACTTGTGACTTGTTGACTAGAAGTAGCTCATAATTCTGGAGAGAAAACCTGCAGAGTTTGCCTGGCAGCAGCCGCTGAATGGGGAGGAGGGGCCGGAACGGATTCCAGCCAAGCAGCACAGCTGCCCGTAGGTATGCGAGGACCGTGTGAGCCTGAGCCCAGAGCGGAGTTTCGGAGACTGACGGTATCGGTTACGGTTGGTGTGTGTGTTTGTGGGGGGGGGGGCAAATTCAGTCTCGACTCGTTCGTATAGCATACATTTCTGCTGCTTTTGAGAGCGTCTATCCGGCACTTGCAGGGGGCGGGGTCAAAATAGCCCCTCAGTTTTTCATTAATAACCATCGTGAGGGCGGCAGACCTCGCTGAAAATTGCCACACTATCGTATTGATCAATTGTACATGTTAACTTAAATTTTCATGACCCTGACCCAAATTGACCTTTGTCCTGTGGCCTATTCTTCTCGCCCTTCTCGCAAACATGTCGAGAAAGACGATTTAGCGAACATAAGCGCATCTTGCATTTCGTTTCCGGACTTGTTTGTGATAAGAAACGTGCCAACGTGTGAAATGCTGCCCGTTCCATGCATTATGGTGGGCATTACGGCCAGTAACCATGCTAGTAGGCGGACACCGATTCACAGCTATGCTCACACCCTGTTCACTTCATTTCGGTCTACTTCCTTCACTCTTACAGAAAATAACAGAGACCAAAATATGTCACTGCTGGTGATAAGCGATAGCATAAAAAGTGCACATTTATTAGGCACGAAGAGCATACACAACACAATATGAAGCATTGATGATGCATTCACGTCACAATTCGTGTGATGCATGGCATGTGTAAAAAAAAAAATATGCTGGTTTTGACATTTACAATCATAGTTTGCTCGATTTTAGGTACGTATCATAAGAATTTTAGGCGAGGCACCCACGAGGCACGCAAGTTGGATGTGCGGTGAATTACTTATTCAATGTAACGAATGTCTTAGTTCTGTGCACGATTTGACCAGCTAGAACACAAATTGTACATTTGAATGTGCTACAATGGATAATATGGATTGACATGAGGAGATTCACGAACAGGATCAAAGCGTCTTCGAATAGTCCACAAAGTCCGTTGGGCGCAGTGCGTAGACCGTTAAGGAGCAGGAACAGCCGGGAAGAGCAGGCCAGGGACCGGTTCCACGTAGGACTGGTCTGGGAGACTTCATTTATGGAGGATCCTGTGGGAAGACCAGTCAGTTGGTTACCATGCAGCACAACAAAGGATAACTTTTAGGGATCCACCTTATCCCAAATTTGCGGATTGTGCATGAATCTCGCGGGCCCAATGACTTGATAAATCAGAACAAAGCATAAAAACTCCAGAATCGGTTAACGTTCCGTAATTTGCTAGTTTGTTGATGTCTGGACGACTTTGCGCCAGTCGCTGTTCTTTTGCTAGTCACATTTTGACACAGAGGTGCCGGAGTATAAAATTGGTAAGGAGAATAAAATCTTTTGGACCCGCCCGGGACCAGAAAAGGGCCTCATTTCCAACACTGGAGGTCACAGTGGGTCGTTGTGGTCAGGGTGGGGCTTTGGGGTCACGATACATTCTGAGGTCATGGTCTGTCAGTGAGGTCACGACAGGCTACTGAGGTCGCGGCAGGATGCTGAGGCTACATCAGGTCAGTGAGGTCACGGCAGGACACTGAGGTCGTGGCAGGTCACAGGTCACGACAAAGACAGACCACCACAGGTTACTGAGGTAACAGGCTATAGGGGTTCGGGTAACGAAACACATTGGAGCCGGCTGCAGAGGTGAAGGTAGGTCGTAGCTGTCCTGACATGTCACAAAGCTATGACATGTTTCATGGTGCATGATATATCACGGGGACTACTGCAGCCCACAGGGATGACAAAACCTATCTGACCTGTTTGTCACGGCTGGTCAGTGGGACGTATGTACAGGGTGACACAAAAAAAGCGGTCATCACCAAAATTCGAATAACTTCGGAAGTTTTATTCAGATCATCACCAAACTTCGGCAACTTAAGGTCACACCTATGTAGCACACATCCACCAAGTTTCAAGTCTTCTCTACGAATACTTTTAGTACAGTGTGTGTTTTACGGACGCTCCACAATGTGCTCCAGGTGAGCGCCCCGGCGCTGCAGGGCGTAGGCACACCTGCATCCGGCAGGCAAAGTTGCCGATAACCCGATAAGAATAACGTTTCAGGGGTAGCACACCCCCTGAGCACTGTCTCCAGAGGCCATTGCACTCTGTAAAGTGCACAGCCATCGGGTTATCGACAACTTTGCCCGCCGGATGCAAGTGTGCCTACGCCCTGCAGCGCCGTGGCGCTCACCTGGAGCACATTGTGGAGCGTCAGTAAAACACTCACTGTACTAAAAGTATTCGTAGTGAAGACTTGAAACTTGGTGGATGTATGCTACATAGGTGTGACCTTAAGTGGCCGAAGTTTGGCGATAATCTGAATAAAACTTCCGAAGTTATTCGAAATTTGGTGATGACCGTTTTTTTGTGTCACCCTGTATGTACCTGTCTGACGCGGTCGGTCAGTGCTACATACCTGTCTGACGCCGTCGGCTGGTGTTACCTACCTGTCTGACCCGGTCGGTAGGTCAGTGGGATCTACCTGTCTGACTCGGTCAGCTGGTGTTACATACCTGTCTGACGCGGTCGGTCAGTGTTACGTACCTGTCGGACGCGGTCGCCGCACCAACGCGCCTCGAAGCCGTCGTTCTCTCGCTCGACCTCGATGTAGGCTCCGCTGCAGTCGACGGTGAGCGGTGCGCTCAGGTTGTGTAGCGTCAGCAGCAGGTACAGGTGGGGCTCCGTCTGATACACACACACACAAACACACATATCACACAGGTCAACTTAGCAGATACAGGTGGGGCTCCGTCTGTTACAGACACAGGTCAGCAGGTACAGGTGTGGCTCCGTCTATTACATACACATTACACATTCAACAGGTACAGGTGTGGCTCCGTCTGTTACAGACACAGGTCAACAGGTACAGGTGTGGCTCCGTCTGTTACAGACACAGGTCAGCAGGTACAGGTGTGGCTCCGTCTGCTCAGCAAACGGAGCACACGCTAGAATGAATAGAATTGCCGACGAGGTGGAAGTGGAGTTTTCACAGAATTTGACATAGCCTGGGGATCCTCGAGCCCGGCTTCCACGTTCTCCACCTTTCGGGTTGCTGGGTTGCATGACAAAGGTTCGTTGTGTTGCTTATTCTCCTCCCTCTTCCCTACACACACTTTGGTACGGTATGATTCGAGGGGTCGTGTCGGACGTTCTCCTTACCTCGATCTGCCACTCGCAGTCTAGCGGTGCCGCCCGCGGCTGCCGGGCCCCGCGCGGCTCCGGGCCGCTCCCCGTCAGAGAGGAGACAAACGGGTAGGGCTGCGAGCGCAGAAACCTGAAACACGCCGGCAGGGTATCGCTCAGACTTGTGTGGCGAGGCTGCCGCTTTCGAGTTACAAAGCAGAATAATACGTGCGGCTTCGTCTAGGTCATGACGGTCAACGTCTTTCTCTTAGCTGTTATTCCTCTTGAATATGTTCTGAATTTTCCAGTACCAGCGCTAAAAGTTTATTCATCAGACCTGGGTGGGCGACGCTTTATTAAAAGGAGCGTCGGTACACCGTAACCTTACGCACGGGAGTATGCGCGCCATTGAGGGCACCACCACCCCAGTAGCCCCTAGCAGCTTACCTGAACAGGTGATCGTCCTTCCGTCGGAGGCTCTCCCCTACGTCGAATTTGAACGGCTGTCCGTAGCCGGAGGGGCTGGGACCGCGTCGGACGTACCCGGGCAGCGGTCGGGCCGGGGCGCCGACCCGCGGCGCGAACCTGCCGCCACCTGGCGGCCGGTAGGTGGCGCGCCGCTCGTCAGGCCGGTAGGTGGGGAGTCTGCCGTCGTGTGGTCCGCCCCTGCGGAACTGGCCAGGGAAGTAGACGTGGCCCGGGCCGGGCCGGTGCTGGGGGTGTTTCCAGACAGGGTCTGGCCGCGGGAGGGGGCGCGGCGGCGGAGGGAGCCTCGGAGGAGCTCCGGGACGATGGTAACCGCTCCACAGAGGCCGTGCTGGTACGGGAGCAGCCGCCTGGTTGGGCTTAGCGTAACTGTCCACGAAGCGGTAGGCGCTCGGCCGGAAGGCGGCAATCCTTTCAACAGGGTCCGCAGCCTGCTTCTCATCTTCATCTTTACCAACAAGACCATGGATGTCTGTCATGATGTTCATAACATCCACGACGGCCTTTATGATCTCCGACTCGACATCCTTTCTGTCCTCGGGAGCCCCCTCTTCCTCAGACATACCGGAGCCGTCGGCGGCCGGGTCGTCATCGCCGACCGCCAGACCGTCCCCGCTGCCCTCCTCGGCGTCCGGCACGTGTTCCAGCACAACCCGGTCGTCTTGGAGCTCCTTTACCACCAGAAGACGCTCGCGCTCCTCCTCTGAGAGGCCGGTCGGCGCCGGCGCCACCACAGCCACAGGCTCGCTGGCACTGACGGCCAGGTCACCGCCGATCTCCGTCAGAGGCAGCAGCTCATCGGGCTCCAGGCCGTCCCACTCGGCGGTACTGTCGGCCGCGGGGGAGGGTAGCTCTGGCGCCGGCACGGTCTCCTCACTGGGCGAGGGCTGAGCGGCGGCTGCCGGCGGCGACTCTGGTATACTAACGGTGACAAGCTCTTCTCCTACCGAGAGGTTCTCAGAGGTGGCCTCTGGTGCCGCTCCGCTTCCTTCGACGGCATCGGCTGCCGGCAGCGGCGCCGAGGCACCGCCTGACCCTTCGCTGCTGACAGCGTCTGACCCGCCCGACGGTAGGGTCACTATATCGTCAGCGTCGAGCAAAATCGTGTTGTCGTCCTCGTCCGCAGCGGCGATCTCCGCCTGGTCTCCGGAGCCCTGGAAGGCGTAGCTGAAACTCTCGAATATCTGGTCAAGCGAGTCGGGGTCGTTGGACGGCTCTGCGAGCTCGCCGTCGTGGACGGCAGAGCCGGAGCCGTCCTGGGCTCCTGCCGTGCTGAGGTCACTGCCGTCGGCCGCGGCGCCCTGTTTGAGCAGCTCGGCGTCGGGCTCCCAGTCGGCGCTGAGGCCGCCGTCGACCGGCAGCGGCGGCGCCTCGGGCAGCACGATGTGCGGCGGCTGCACATACAGCGGCGTGTCGGAGTCGGAGTCCGGCGGGCCGGCGGTGACGATCACGGGCGCGGCCGGGTCGGCGGCAGCCGTCGGCGCCGGCAACTCGGCCGGCTCCGGCTCCGCGCCGCTCCCCTCCGGCTCCGGGTGGTGCCAGAAGCTCACCGTCCGCTTCTCACCCTTCTGAACGAACAGTGACGTCGGCTCGGGGCCGCATCGCGCCGCCTCCGCTCCTGAAATGATTGGAGCGGGCGTTACAAACGTGCGGTGTCTGAGGAACGCAGAAAGGCTAGAGCAATAGTTCCGCGTTCGGGGTAAGAATTCATGAAGTTTTAATAAAACGGCAAGAATTAATAGTGTAACCCAGAGGGAATGATGGGATAGTGGTGTCTACCTTTTTGCCATTAAAAGGCATTTGTGGGAGTTGTCCAACTGTCAATGAATGTTTAACTCACACTAAGATGATGTCCTTTTTGTCTAAATATTTGTTTTTTCCTATCCTACCTTCTGCGTCATTAATTATGCTCCTCCCGTTCATTGACATATTTTATTGGGGTCATGTGTGAAGATAACATGTCCTAGCGGTCTCGGTTCCCCAAACCCGTTCTGATCGATCAGCTGGTTGGTTAGCGGTGAATCAGGTCCTGACTCGCGGTGTTCCGTTAGATTAGCGGCACCGCCCTGGTCCTGACCCGGTCTCCGTCTGACGGCGCCGGTGACTGACACGGCGGTGCCGCGCAGCGCCGTCCATTTCAATGAGCTGGGTCTGCCGCCGGGCACGCACCGATTCATCCCGACTGGGCTGGAGCTGGGGCTGACACGGGGACTGACGCCGACTCTGACACTGACTGGCATTGGCCTTGACACTGAATGACACCTGCTACCGGCTGACACTAGCCGACACCGGCTCTGACACCGGTTCTTATTCCGATTCTGACACCAGCCGACATTGACTCTGACTTCTCCCGTCACGCTGCTATAGGTATATTACCGGCCATGCTCACCCAAGCACAAAGCTGGCGACTGGCGTCCGATCCGGTTTAGCAGTCTCTCCGCCGAGCTCCTTTTGTTCGCTCGCCGCCTCTCCCGTCCCTGACCACCCTCTCAGACCCTCCCAGGTCCCAGGAGCGCCCCTTCAGTCAGGCATTCTCGGCACCTCTCTGTCCGTTCTAGTTCATTCCGCTCCTGAGTCCTGCCCACACCTGTCCCTCTCCAGCCCGGGGCGGCGGCGTTCACCGAACGGACCACTGCTCTCCGAAGGACGCTCCCCCGACAGAGCCGAGAGCTGAGACGGGGCCGGGCAGGGTGTGGGAGATAGAGGAGGGTGGTGTGGCACAACCTTGAACCACGCCGGACTGCTGATCCGACGCGCCGGCCGGCCGCCGGTCACCGCGCCGTCTCGGCGACTGAGAGGTGGTCGGTGTTTGACCTGTGCTCCCTCCTCCTCGAGTACAGTCACTGTGCACACACCGTGCCGTAACCGTCACTCTCCGCACCTGGCCCGACCTCCACCAGACGCCGGAAACAGCCGCTGCGGTCACTGACCTCTGACCCGCGACACAGGGTCACGGGGACCGCCGCACCTCGTCTGGGCACCAGTGTGAGGCCTCGCTAAGTATGCAAACGGATGCAGAGAACGCATATTTATCAGGGCTCGATCCGCGAATCAATTACATTCACCTATGGGCTGAAATGCTTGCAAAGCCGACACTATTATTTTGCTGTCTGACGCCGTTCGGTCATCGGTGGGCTACTCGGTTCTCTTCCGCAATGGATTCTCCCGTAGCAGATATCCATGATGCAGGCGGGGCCGGCGGGTTGACCATGGTCCTGGGCCCCGGCTCAGCCAAATGCTGAAGTTCATCCATCGGGAGAAGCGCGGCCACCGCTCCATCTTCTCCCGGTCCGCTGATTTTCTCGTCACTCCATTACGGCGATTCTTAGCGCCCACATTTCCATTCGCCTATCCAGACGTACTTACATACAAACTGACTCCAGGCCGTGAGGCCGACTGTGTTAGTCATAAATGACCTATAAAGGTACGGACATAAGTCTCCAATAACTAACCATGCTTGTTGATATCAGCGACGCGCAACGAGCAGCTGTTAGTACGATGACCCAGATGTTAGTTGAATGGATAGCAAAGATATCATCTCAGATCTGTCGTTAGATGCGATTGGCCCTCGCTTTTTTCAGTGGTCAGCAGTGGAGTGGTACTCGGTCCTCGCCAGTGGTCAATGGCCATTGGTCACTGGTCATTGGTCAGCTGGTCGGTCCTCGGCCCGGCCCGTCGGCGCCACATTCCACCGAGTGCAGCGCACGGCGCTCTATGATACCGTTGACCCTGGCCAGGGAGGTAATTTACGAGACGAGCCGCGGCCAGGAACGCACGCACAAAAACGGCCGACCGCCGCCCGCCCGGCCGGCCGCAGCAGTCGCGCCCATACACCGGGGAGAGCGAGAGAGGCTCGGACCGACAGACCATGGGCGTGGGTACTGGACGGTGTACAGGGTGTAACGAAATTATCCGGACATCTTTCTTCGCGCTGTAATTAAGAAGCAAGACAATCTGATATTTTCTCTTTTGAATTATAATATAGCCACCTTTCATAAGAGCGCAGGTACAAATTTCTGGAGCATTCCAGCCACTGGGTTTTCCAGCACAGTGGGTTTCATGTAGAGCAGCGCCTTGCTAGCCTGTGCCCACAGTTGGGCGGCGCTGGTGGCGGGTGTCCCTTCATTCATCTCCTGCTGGACAATAGTCCATAAGATATCGATGGAATTGGGATGGGAACTATTTCCAAGCCATAGCCCGTTAGCCCAGAAGAAAAATAGGTCCTCTCGGCATTGCTTCTCATTCTGCTAGGGGACTTGAAGGTGGTGCGCCGCCCCGCATGAAGACTGCGCGGCTTGAATCAGGCATCAGTACGCGTTCAGAAACAGAGCCCTCCTGCGCCGTCTGGTTGAGTGGCTCCAACCAATCGCTAGCCAGGATGTTGCGCCGGTAATACTCGTCACTGATGTGGTTTTCTGTGGCGTCATGAACAGCTTGAATATTGCACAGCAGCTGAACATGCTCCAGGTCTGGATTTTGACCGGATGCTTGACGCCGGCGACGGCCGGCATGTTCGAGCTGCTGGCAGCCCACACATGGCCGATTTGACGGTTCAACGGACATCGCAGCTCGAACAGCTTCCCATCCGACCAGGCCATCTCATTCATGTCTTCCTTCGACCAGTGGTCACGCCCTGGCCTGAGGCCAAAGGTGGTGGACTGGTTGTTTTCCCGTCAATTTCATTGTCTTTTTCAGTTTGAAGGGCAGTAAAACCAAGCTAAAAAGTAGGTAACGGTGAATTATGATGTGGGACCTCTTATTATCTGCCTTGGTAAGAATTCGAGTCAGTTTGCAGATTAATTGGTGCCGTTTCCTTGTCGCTATCTTGACAACTCTCCTCACCACTTGGCAAAGGGCGCCTTCTGCGATCGAGGCCGGGCTGAGTCTGCCACCAAGTCCCAGCTTATTACGCCTGAGGCAGATGTGCTACTGGCTGCTGCTGATGTCCAGCTGCTGACAGACCAGCTTCTGGCTCATGCCACCATGTCACCAACACGTAGCCTTACTACGAAACGAGAGACTGTACTCCCTTCTCTCCACTGCCTTAAACGAAAACTATCAAATGAACCCGTCGGCGACTCGACTTTTACTCAGAACAAGAGTCATTTCGCAAGGTCAGGTCACTGCTGAGTTGAGAGCAGATACCAGAGGTATGCATTCATCCAATTTTCCAGCTCCTAACATTAAAAAAGAAACTTTGCGAGCAGATATGGCGAAAAAATAGATGTCCGGATAATTTCGTTACACCCTGTATGTAGATCTAGACTAAGAGTAAGGACACTGGGTAGTGACTAGTGGGTACAGGGCACCGGAGACGGAGACCCAGACCATGGGTGGTGTAATTGGTACACAGCGGCAGCACGTTATACACCATCCCGTATTCAAGTCACGCTACTCCGACACATTCTTGCCCCTACGGTAACGGACGTGCTGCAGCGTCCGGACTGTGTTTACTTTATCCATTTGCCCACTGCACAGGTGACAAGCGCTTGACAGAACAGCTCAACCACAGGCTGGCATTCGCTCACGGCGTAGACATAAGTCCAGATGGCCGCGGTGAAGATCAGTGACACCACCGCTCCGCCGCTGCCGCAGCCACAGCCCGCTCCTCCCGTTCCATTTCTGATGCCGCCGGCGCCGCTTATAAACAATTACGAATGCCTTCCTGACTAGGTGTCATGGCCTTGGCGGCGGTGCGGTTTACGAGCGGCCAGGTAATTGTCCGGTCAGGAATGGTATACCAGGGGAGCCGACCGGCTCCGGAGAGCCGACCGACGGACCGCGGACGGCGCTGGGGTCTGCTGGTTCACCGGGACTGCTGGTCGAAGCTGATGGCTGCTGGTGCAGTTCTGAGTGACTGCTGGCTCAGCGGGTCTGCTGGCTCAGAGCTGATGACTGCTGGTTCAGCGGGACTGCTGGTCGAAGCTGATGACTGCTGGTTCAGTTCTGAGTAACTGCTGGTTTAATTCTGAGTGACTGCAGCGCACCTTCAGCGGGTCTGTCGGCTTGGCGCTGATGACTGTTAGCTCAGCGCTGATGACTGCTGGCTCAGTGCTGATGACTTCTGGCTCGGTGTGAATGGGATATGGTTCAGAACTGATGACGGCTATTAGAGTTGATTCCACAGATCCCGAGCCGATGACTGCTGGTTTGTCGCTGAACCAAATAAAGTGGGGGATTTTGAGTCGTTCTTTATCTAAACTCAGTTCTTCCGAACTGAGATCTGGATTATAGGGTCGGGTCACGCGCCAACGGTTTTCTCCAGTTCGTCGGAGCGCGGTCGCGATCTCGACGGTCGTTTCTGAGCTGGATCGTCACGGGTCGTCGAGCCAGCGGCGTTCGGCCGGGCTCGAGGCGACTCCACGGCGTCCTTGGCAAGGTCCCGGCGCGGTCTCCGACTCCTGAGTTCCGAGTCGGAGAGGTGGTCGGCGTGGCCCCGGCGGTCAACGGACGGGGCCGGGCACCGACCGGCGCGGCGCGCCGGCCGCCGGGGTCACTCAGCCGGCCCGCCCGCCGAGACCGGCGCCCGGTGGGACCTCGGCGAGGACCGGTGACACCTCACAGAGGACTAGTAACGTCTAGGGTACGATGGAGTTCTCAGAGGTACAGAGGTATAGTCGACTACAGAATGATGTTCCACTCCTCAGAAGCTATCAGTTGACCGGAGCGCTAAGTTTTGCCGTTTATCACGCAATTAAGCGTGTCGATTGTGATCATTGGGACAAAGCTATAAATTGTGAACTCAGCCCGTGTGATGCGGCACAGCCTACCACTCCAGGCAAATAATTGCCTGTGAAAATTGGAACATCATTCTGTAGTCGACTATACATACCGGGAACCGTAAGGGGTCACAATGGGGCCCTTCAGGGGTTCCCCAGTGGCCAGTACTGTCTATGAGTGTCTAATGTCATACGGAGCCCTACAGGGTGTAACGAAATTATCCGGACATCTTTCTTCGCGCTGTAATTAAGAAGCAAGACATTCTGATATTTTCCCTTTTGAATTATTATATAGCCACCTTTCATAAGAGCGCAGGTACACATTTTTGGAGCATTCCAGCCACTGGATTTTCCAGCACAGTGGGTTTCATATAGAGTAGCGCCTTACTAACCTGTGCCCGCAGTTGGGCGGCGCTGGTGGCGGGTGTCCCCTCATTCATCTCCTGATGGACAATAGTCCATAATATATCGACGGAATTGCATGGGAACTATTTCCAAGCCATAGCCCTTTAGCCCAGAAGAACAAAAAGGTCCTCGCGGCATCACTTCTCATTCTGCTAGGGACTTGAAGGTGGTGCGCCGCCCCGTATGAAGACTGCGCGGCGGCTTGAATCAGGTATCGGTACACGTTCAGAAACCGAGCCATCCTGTGCCGTCTGGTTGAGTGGCTCCAACCAATCGCTAGCCAGGATGTTGCGCCGGTAATACTCGTCACTGATAGTGGTTTTCTGTGTCGTCATGAACAGCTTGAATATTACACAGCAGCTGAACATGCTCCAGGTCTGGATTTTGGCCGGATGTTTGACGCCGGCGACGGCCGGCATATTCGAGTTGCTGGCAGCCCACACATGGCCGATTTGACGGTTCAACGGGTATCGCAGCTCGCAGCTTCCCATCCGACCAGGTCACCTCATTCGTGTCTTCCTTCGACCAGTGGACACGCCCTGGCCTGAAGCCAAAGGTGGTGGACTGGTTGTTTTCCCGTCAATTTCATTGTCTTTTCCAGTTTGAAGGGCAGTAAAACCAAGCTAAAGGACGGGTAACGGTGAATCATGATGTGGGACCTCTTATTATCTACCTTGGTAAGAATTCGAGTCAGTATGCGGATTAATTGGTGCCGTTTCCTTGTCGCTATCTTGACAACTCTCCTCACCACTTGGCAAAGGGCGCCTTTTGCGATCGAGGCCGGGCTGAGTCTACCACCAAGTCCCAGCTTATTACGCCTCAGGCAGATGTGCTACTGGCTGCTGCTGATGTCCAGCTGCTGACAGACCAGCTTCTGGCTCATGCCACCATGCCACCAACACGTAGCCTTACTACGAAACGAGAGACTGTACTCCTTTCTCTCCACTGCCTTAAACGAAAACTATCAAATGAACCCGTCGGCGACTCGACTCTTACTCAGAGCAAGAGTCATTTCGCAAGGTCAGGTCACTGCTGAGTTGAGAGCAGATACCAGAGGTATGCATTCATCCAATTTTCCAGCTTCTGACATTAAAAGAGAAACTGTGCGAGCAGATATGGCGAAAAAATAGATGTCCGGATAATTTCGTTACACCCTGTACAGAGATTTCCAGTACCGACTACGTCACAGAAATATCCAGTATCGTCTGGAATCCGATGGAACCCTACACAGTACGAGGATCTCAGTACCTTCAGAGGATTATCACGTTAGGACGAGGACAGACGATAAATGTAGTTTTTAGCGTGTCGAATTTGTTATCTACGGAGTCAAGTTAGTTTCATTGATCTCATTTTACCTATTCTGTGCTGCAGCCTGCACGTCGAAAGGCAGAGGCTGAGCAAAAGTCACGAAAAAATGAATGTGCATATGTACCCATTTGCTATTATCCATCTAATGACTGCTTCATATGTAATTGCTCTGCATGGTCATGGATGTGATATTAATTTATTTTTCCTATTGATAATCTTTTTAGGAATCATCTGACCGGCGTGGGACTCGTATGTCAAGCTCATTGTCGAGCATAAGAAAATCCAGCTTTCAGAGTAAAACTATGTAGTCTGAATTAGACGAGGCACTAAGAACGTATGATGTAGGTACAACTTTTTCACATAAGTTGAAGTTAAACTTTTTATATAAGGTGAATGAACGCTTACATTGCGTTCTTTCAGAGGTGTTTAAGCCCACGGGAGACTGGTGTGCTTTAACTGCCAGTCGGTACCGCCGAAAGAACTTTGAAACTTGAAAGTTCCTCCGGCTGTCTCTTCGAGCCATTTACCAAACCCCCATGGGACAGTGACCCCTCCCCCACAGCTGCTATGGCGCAGATCGTAAATGGGCACCCCATTAAAACAGTCGCCGTCTGCACCGCTCAACAACCTTTCAACCAAGGCCCTAAATACACTTTCAACATTCCAAAAGTTGTAAGCTGATGTGCCCAGTTCGTAAGTCCACTTTTGGGTATACCTAAACGTAATAGCAACGGTAGCGGCGGCTCTGCTGTAAGGACTGACCTGTTCCTGGTGAGCCGGCGATGGCCAGCAGAAGCACCACCACCAGCAGCAGCGGTGCGACCGCTCCCCGGCCGGCTGGAGATCCCATGTCCTGCTCCCGGCGGCTGCACGCCAGCACTGGCCACCTCGCGCCGCCGCCGCCGCCGCCGCCGCCGCCGCCGCCGCCGCCTTCTCCGTCCCCCTGAGGGCTCCGCCGCGGCAGCCGCATGGTACGCCAGCAGCCTCGGTCACGTGACCACTGTTGGTCGACACCGAATGGCCAACACCGGTGGTCACGTCTTTTCTCTGTGTATGTTACGCGCAAGTTTATAAGCATCGCATTTAGCTGAAAATGAAATTGACCCTCGCCGGTGGATGGGAAATGCTCTCGCGCCCCCTCCCGACGGCTTATTTCGCGTTCGCTCGGATTGGAGCTCGCCGAGGATAGAGAGCTGAAGCATACGAGTATGCTGAAGTTTCAGCACGCCTGACATTTGGTTCAAGAACACTTCGACGAAAAAAAATTTTACTGAATAAGGGCGAAAAAGCCTGTCGCCTACCATGCTTGCTCCCGTTCAACCTTTTGTCTGCAGAAGACCGATAGATATTTTTTACACTCTTCATTACATCTCTTGACGAAAGTCTTCAAATTAAAGGATATTTTTGCCCTTAATTTAGCTCGTCTATGAAATGCAGAAGTCACACTTTCCCAGCGTAGAAAAGTGTTATTTTCGGCGATGACTGGGGTTTGAAATATCCGTCCAGTCACGCAGGGTGGAGGGGTTCGTGTTTTTTTTTTCTGTGAAATTCATACTAAACGGCTGCCACAATGATACGATTTTATTAAATAACTTTCGATAAGAACACAACGATATCATTTTAAACATGTCTTTGCGGGAACAGAACAACAAAGCAGGACAGCCCAAATGCAAAATTGTCTTTTAGGGCTGCGTCATGTAGAATACGCTAAATTGTTCGGTGTACGTAGCGTGCGAATCCGTTATTTATGCTGCTATTTCCAGTCCACAAATTAACAATGACTCAGTCTCGTGCACTGCAAGGAGGCCCGATGAAGGCTCGTCGACTGGCCTCAGGGTTCTGCTGGCCTGGGAAACCCCGGCGCCGCCGAGGGCCGTCGGTTCGACATTAGCCGACTGCGTTCGCCCCAAGCTCCGCTATACCAAGCTCGAGTCCGCCTCTCCGTGACTCGCGCTCAGGGTTCTGGTTTTCTTAATAAAAGCGCCATAATACTTATTGAGTCTGGCACTGGCACAAAAGCATCAAATGTCGAGTTTCCCAGTTGTTTTGTTTTCCATAATCCCACGTCTAGTTTACACCTCAGAAGCAGCATGGAGCATGCACAAAGTTGGTACATTTTTGTTGGGACTTCTCGAATGCGTTGACAGCTCATGACATTGGCAATAACATGGTAATCATAACAACACACGTATAATAGCTCTTGCTAGCAAAACAAAAACACACAAGGCATAACCTTCTGTACTCACATCACATGTCAGCCCGAAATACTGAGCTGCGCATTAGAACATCAACAATGGAACACCGGCTAGTGTTCTGAGTATCCACAAGACACGTTTGAATGGGTTTTCACCGGAGTTGGTATAGGTATACACGTGATGCATGCTTGGGCATATGTCCGGTCCTGATTGTCGCCTAATATTCGCTTTTGGAATACCTGGGCACGAGAGAATTTAGCTCCCATCGGAGGGCCGTGAGGGAACGTCCCGGTACCGAGCGCCATCTGCGCCGTTACTCGGTACCCAGACCTCCGCGACATCTAACGGCGCTCAGCCGAACGTCGGGCCCCAGGTCTCCACGAAGCCTGGCGCCACGTAGTACAGCAGCGACAAACCGAGCACCTTCGCCACACTGAACGCCACGGAGCCACCGAAAATCCACAGTCCCTCTGCCAGGGTGACTGGCCGCACCTGCACGTCCTCGGAGCGGCCCTCTCCTGGCGGCGAATGCCCGGTACTCAAGCTTCGTCTCCTCGCCGCCAGGTGGTCGAGGAACGCCCGGTAGATGGCACTAGGAGAGAGCAGCGACGCTGGGCTGTGGTGGAGCTCGGCGGGAGCGGTGGGGTCGCTCAGCTCGGCACCTATGGAAAAAAACAGAGGTGCTGTTAGTCTCGTCTGCAACCGTAGATCAAAGGGCACATGATCCCATTGGAGCTGAGGTCATATTGGCCTCTTTGTCGACGGACACAGGATATCCGTCCTTTTCAGCCCCAGAACAGCAATCAGGAACAACCCAGCATCATCCTCAATCGCAAACATGACGATCCCGTCCAGTAAACGGATGAGAGTAGCTCCTGTCAGAGATAATCCCTCCGACGTGACATTTCGAGCTGCCGGGCTCTCTCACAACTGCAAGCCAGTCCCAACGGACAGTGCTCAATCCTGCGACACATAGGTAAGCCGGTCGTGGTGGTCGAATCAGCTAAATAAGTCCACTTATAGGCACTCTCATCTCAAGGCCCTGCGGCCTGTACTGTTATGAATAGACCAATCGAGACTGTTTCCACAAAACATGACGTTCATTTTCTTTTCCTATTCCCAATGCATCCGTCTTATTGTGTGCTTGAAGCAAGGCTTGGAGCACCATCGTTCCGTTTGGTATATTTTCCGTTTGGTTCCGTTTATAGTACTGATTATCCGTGCCGCTCAAAACGGTCATGTCTGCTTCCCTTCTGTTAGTTTCCAGCAGCTGCAGGATAGCTATGTAAGTTATAAGTAGAATAACAGAAATGTAAGGTCGCCGTTTAATTTCTCTAAAAAAAAAATATAGTTGATAGACCCAGGGGTCCGCAACAGTTTCAAGATTGGAGGGTCCGACCCAAAATGCACACTTGCACATTAGGCTGCATTACGTAAGTGAAATGGTTGGAGAAGGGGTCCGGACCCCTGCAACCCCCTCCACCCCCCCCCCCACCCCCCCCCCCACCCCGGTGGAGGAGTCCTTGGATAAGTCTACCAGACTCACATTGGTCTATATGTTTTGGCTGCCGGAAGCAACCGTGAATCGTGCAGCGGAAACCCTCAGGTGGGTGTTATTGTTTTGTTTTATATTGCAGTCGCTGACTGTCGGGGCTAGTTTTTGCGTGGCATTGTAGTCTCCGTAGTATTTAGGTGGGTACCGAAATGCACTAGTTATTTGCCATCCCCTTGCTCAGCTAAGCTGGACCCTAAGCTAGCGATGCTCCGTTACTGGTGGCCACCTGTCTGGGCCGACAATGTGCTCACTGCTGTCCCTGCCCTGCCATGTCCTGTGCCGTCCACACATTGGTGCACCCGCGTCGGCTTTTGTCCCCTTTCTGCCCTGTTCGCGAGCGTACCGTCGCCCGTGTTGGTGCTACTGTTCTGTTCTATATTGCAGTCGCTGTCGGGGTTAGTGATCGCCATTGTATTGCAGTCACCGTAGTGTCTACGACATAAATGCTTCGCCTCCACTTGCCATCCACTTGCTCAGCAAAGATAAACCCTAAGCTTAAGATGCTCCGTGACCACCTTTTTGGTGAGTGTGTTGCCCTTGTAATTGTATACGCTGTTTTGTTCCGCTCGCAGGCTCGCACATCGCTGCTTGTCCAATGCTTTGCCTGTTTGCGGGCGTATCGTCGCCCACTGGTGCTACTGTTTTGTTCCGTATTGCAGTCGCTGACTCTCTGGTTACCTTTCGAGCGGTATTGCTGTCTCCGGATTATCTACGAAATATGCATGTGCGGCCAAGGACCATCCTTGCCATCCATTTGCCAGTCAGGCTATGAACTCACGATAATATCGCCATTCGCCGTCACGTCTTACTCCGAACTATCGCTCGCACGGATGTGCTCACGCGTGGACTGCACGTATCTGACCTGGGCCTGAATCCGTGTGACTAGTTCTCCTCTGTCTGTGAACATATTACGTAACCAATCGCATTACTATACGTGTGCCGTGATCTGTATGCGACGTGCATAAATATGAGACTTTATCAACCGTCTGCACATTTGTCTGTGGCCCGGCATTGTTCGAGCGTCTATGTGCGACCATCGCGTCCAAAGTGCCGGTCCTGGCTTCAATCGGTAACGGTTCTGGCTCAGACTGTAAAACGACCAGCGTAAACGACCAGCGTAAAACGGCGCGCAGTAAGCCGTGCTAAGGTGACGGTCTCCCCGGTGCTGCGGCGGTGTTCAACACGTTTGCTTTCAGGTCTACTGCAGTGTATACCCCTCAGGTCATTTCTTGCAATGCGTCGTATAGATAAGCATTCGTGGCATGCCAGACGCGTGGCGTTCTTAGTTAGGTTTGTAACTTCTAGCATCACTGCCCAACCCTGAGCTCATGGGATATGCGCCAATTGTCACTCTTCGCGGAAAGCAGCAGTTGAAAGCAAATAGGTACTTGTGGCAAATAGTGGTCCCTGTAGTCCAAGGACTGGACCTAAAGGACGTAAGCAGTCCCTCCCTGCCCTACCCCCCACACCCACACCGGCGGTTTGCTCCGTCCGCCGATCACAGCTAAAGTGCGTGAGAAATATCCAATACCCATTCAAGCGTCTCGATAGTATGCGGCGACGGGTGCTCAATCGTATAATGCCCTCGGCGCTGGCGAAGGAAGGTGCATACAGCTGCCTCTAATTTATGGATCGGCTGTGAATTTTAGGGTTTAAGTGCCCTTGATGGTAGTTTCTCCGCAAAGGAGGACGCCCGAACGCCACCACTTGTGCCCGTGTCTGCGGTACCGGGGGCCGCTCTCTCGTCGGCGGCTGGCCGCTCTGCGATCTGTGTCATCTCCAGCCGGACACCAGGGCCGGCTTTCACTGATAGGAGCGTTACCCCGGCACCAAACGGTAGGCCGCAGGGGGGAGAGATGGATCCCAGAGACACAGGGAGAGATAGCTCCCATATACGACTACAGGGGGAGAGATGGCTCCCATCACTGAACTCTATAATGGCTCCCATCCACCACAAGGGAGAGATTGCTCCCAGAGACACAGGGGAGAAATGACTCCCATACGACCACAGGGGGAGAGATGGCTCCCGGAGACACGGGGAGAGATGGATTCCGTACGGCCATAGGGAGAGAGATGGCTCCCAGACACGTGCGAAATGGCTCCCATACCGTCCACATAGGGAGCTATATGCAGCTACCAGAGACACGGGATCGAGTGCCTATGAATGCCGGACTGTCTGCCGGTGCACCGCCTTATATCATCTCACAGCATGTCCCAAAGGATAGGGCAAAATCGAACATGTCATGTAAATAAGCCGACCTGCATGACCGAAAAGCCACTTGCTGTTTATCTCGGTAGTGGCGACTGCGAGCATATTTTCCATGCACATTTTTTTACATAATTCCATATATCCTAACGTAAATAGCAGATGCAAAAAATACGACTAGATAACCGATCGTTGTCCTATGCGGCCGACGATCATCAAATATCTGGGTACCTAATAGGTTATTCCCCGGAAACAAGCTTCACTGGTAGGTGAGTAGGTAGTCGATAAGCTCCATAATTTACCGTCGGATCATTCAGCTGAGAGTGGGTGAAAGTATACCACACGGATAACAAGTAAACAAACAGGTGCAACAATTATATATATCAAAGTCTATGAGTGACCTTCCGCAACCGATCTAAAATAAGCATCGTACAAATCAGTGAAGTAACAAGTGAAAGCTAGCACGTAGCATTTGAGAATTTGATCAACATGACCATGAATTGCTGAATAGTGAGTTTCTATAGACACTAAACAGAGAACAAATGTTTGCACAGCAATCCAATTGCCGCCATCCGAGAGTTTCCAGACGTGCGTGTGTTCGACGTTTACTTTGTGTAGGTATGGTATCTATGCGTGTTTGTTTGTAGGCTAATATGCCTAGGTACGCACCTGAGACCGAAGCGACCACCAGAAGACCGAGCAGCAGCAGTAGGGCCATTCCCGACAGCCGAGCAGGCGGCATGATCAGTGACCTCACCACTGGGCGCGCGCAGTGGTTTCTACGGTCAAACCATAGCTCGCGCTACTCTGTGACACTCTCCACCACTGTGCCGGGCAGTGCCACAGTCCTTGGTGATACTGGTGCTACAGCACGTCACAAGCCACTGGCTACTGGTAGCTTCAGCACTTCGGCAGGCAGGAGCACAGGACACCCACGATGTTGCTGATAATACAGCGGGCGCCTTCCCTCCGCTGCACGTGCCGCGATTCTTCAGTAGTCTTCGACAGTAGGCAGCCTGGGGACCTCAGCTCCGTGTGGGGTGCACACCTCGCCGGTCCTCCGCCGTCTGTCCGCCCCGGCTGTCACACCCGCGGCCTCGCGGAGCACCCGTACCGTCCCCGATCTGTGTCACGTGCCTCAGCGCCGCGCACTGCTCACCGCCGAGCTGGGGGCGGCCGCGGGAAGGACTGCCGCCGCCCGCCGCCACCGCCGCCGCCGCCCGCAGTCGCGGCGATCTCTCCGCGCTCGTATAGGGCGCGCCGCGCGCGACCCACTCCACCGATCACTGGGGCCCGCAGGACCGACCCGTTACACTTAGGCAGCGGCGCGGAGCGGGAGCGACCCCACCCGACCGGCACCTCACTTCACCTGGGTCACCACGCACAACACCAACCGAGCGTGGGATCCGCCGGAATACGGGCCCGCCCGACCGAGACAGGACGTGATCAGGTGTGCGCGTGAGCGCACGGGTGCGGAGATTCGGTTCGGGACGTGGATTACCTGCGACAATGTGGACTAAGGGATGATCCTGTGATTTTTATCAGTCCCTAGCGAGACTCTCCTATACGACACCCTCAGCGCGGACGATGAACTGGCACCACGGTGACACACGCGACACAGTACGGCAGCCGGTGTGATTGCCGTGAACGCCAGATGGCCAGCCGCGAACGAACGGGTCTGTCTCTAACTCTATAGCCGGAACACAGTAGCCGCACGGCCGGCAGCGAATGACAGTCACTTTAGTGAAACTCGTGTGTGTTTGTTTGTTTATGAACTGAGGCATGGACCTACCTAATTACCCGTTCCTGCCCGGGGCGGCGAACCTTTACCCCGCGGGTGAGCTGACACTGCACCGGTGAAATCCCCGACCTCTGGCGTCACCGGCGCCGGGCCGCAGTCCCGACCCATCCCTGTACCGCTCCTGAACGGTCGGTAACGGGCCCATTGACGGCGTCACGGGTCACGGCGCGTGCGGCGTCACGCGTGCCGTCACGATCGTTAGCAGATGTGGATCGTCACTGGCAGGTGGCCGACGGCAGGCAGACATGGCAGTGACAGGCAGGCAGGCGGACAGACGGCAGACACAGCACTGACAGGCGGGCAGGCAGGCAGGCGGACAACACTGGCAGACAGACAGGCAGGCAGGCAGACATGGCACTGACGGGCGGACAGGCAGACTGGTTTCTGGCTGGCGGGTAGGTAGGCAGACAGGCAGACAGACAGGCAGGCAGACAGCACTGAAAGACGGGCTGGCGGGCCAGATAGATAGGGCAGACGGACAAACATACCACTAACAAACATAACACTAACACATAGTCCGACTACCGACAGATCAGACCACAGACCAACACAAATGGACCAAGCCATAATCGAGCAGAATCGTCCATCTAAATTATCCGCAAACCATCAGGCCAGGCCTCCGAACTCCTATTCCGACCGTAGTTCTCAGAACAGGCCAAAAAGGCGCACATATCTCCTCGCAGTCTCACCAGCACACGGAAGCTCCCGTGCTTCATCTTCCACGTCAATCATCTCGTGTTCTTTGAACAATGGTGTGCTTTTTTGGCAAAACAAAAACTGAGATCCTGAACGGATCACGTGCCTCATTCGCCATCGGCTTGATAAAGAAGCGTTTGTCATGTCGTACGATCGATTCGGTAGTCCGTTAGGCGGCACGGGCGGACATCGATAGCAGCGCCTCTATCGGTCACTAGGGAAAGCTGGGCTGTAGGCGACGAAATACCGGCTGAGTTGTCACAAGTTAAATAGGTTTATAGACATCCGTCTTGTGAAAAAGTTGAACTTTTGCCTTCAATATCTCTACAGGCAATTTTAGAAGTGCCTTCACACAGATTACAAAACCGTTTAAATTATTTTATTCACTTCAAGCCTTCCCTATTGTTCTTGATGATGCGGGAACTATTTCTAATTAGTGTTTCTAGCTTAGTAAAAGAACATATTGTGCAAACGATGAAAAGAAGCATAAATGAAGATTTTAAATGCAATTTTCTGTAACAAATAATGGTAAATTCTCTACACATCAAGGAAAAAATGCATGCTAGCTGATAATTTAAAGTTCTTGGGGCCAGTTGGTTTCTTCTTTTCTTATGTCGCCCCAATGGCCGCGAATACACTTGTGATAACGCCTATCGCAGAGTAACCCATAACGCAAACACATGACTTGGCTTAATGCTAACGCCGAAGTGGCGACTGTGAAATACGAGTATCAAGCTAATAACATCTATTTCCCGCAACTCGCGGGTAAACAAATACTTTCAGGGGCAATGTCGGTGCGTTGCCTGCTGAAGCGGTTCCGTCGCCGGATACGGCGCACCATGCAGCGTGCAGTGAGCAGGTGCTGCACCGTTCAGCTCTCAACATGCAGCTGCCGGCTGGAGAGAGTGCAGGTCGGCACGGGTGACTGGGTCACCGCAGAATAGGACGGCGGCACCGACCGCACCCAGCACCGACGGGGGTGAGAGCTCAGAGGTCACACTGCACTGTCAGGGGACAGAGGTCACACCGGCAACAAGGGGCATCGGCGAGGTCAGAGGTCATGCCGGTCATTCCAAAGGTCACAATGAATAGGGATAGAGGCCACACCGGTCGAGGTCAGATGTCACACCAGTAGTGGTCACGGGTAGCGGCGGCCGCACGTGCCGTCCGAGCGACTTTTTACGGTCAACAGAGTTAGAATGTCTTTCAAATGTGCCTGCTCTGACAAAAAAGTTCAAACGTTGGGATGTGTGCTTGGCATTGGCATCACTAATTCCTATCGGCACTGTGAAATAAAAGGCATGGAGGCACACCCGTTGCGCAAAACGTAGGTACAACGGGTCTTTGCAGCTTAGTATGCGCAACATAGCACATCTTTATATTCTAGCTTCAAGCGAGGCACATGCATGATTGGAAAGAGCACGCCGACCCGATGGCGGATGCTTTACCTACTTTGATGGGCGCGGCCTGCTGATCAGGATCGGGAATCTGCATGGGGTCACTCTGATGGTCTATTACCCGACCTCATAGGATCGGCCTGGGCTATATTTCGGCAGAGGCTGTCTGTCATCATTTCTTCGCAAAAATCTCTTATTGAAAAAATATTTCCCGTATACCTACCGACAGACCTTGGTCGTCTGTCACCAATATCCTCCTAAGCAGTAAGACACGTCACACGAAATTTTACGGCAACAGATAAGGCAATGTCGAGCGAAATTTCTCGTAAAGACAAGACGGTTGGGTGGGGCGTTGATAACCACTGCACTGCCTGCTCACCTACCTACGGCCGCTCCGGCTCAGGATTTCGGCCGGCGGTAATCAGCATGACTTGCCGCTCTGAAACCAGGCCGTCACAGGCAGGCCCCAATCATAAACGGCGGCAGACCGGGGTTGACGTCGGCCCCAGCGTCGCATCGTCCAGTCACTGCCGTGACTAACGGACCCGAGTCCCGAGCTGCGACAGGCCCTTAGAATACTGAAAGACGAGCAGTCCGTGGCCGCGAGCAGAGGGCCAACGTGATCGGTGGTAATAGGTCACTTCCCGGACAGGACGGGCGGTGAATTGGAGTTAATCTCCAGACACTTTAGGACAGGGCGGTGAACGTGGGGTTACTACTGCGCAGAGTAGGAATACGGGCGGGAGACCGCGCACTGCCCAGACAGGTGGCTGCCAGCAATGGCGCATCGCTAGCTTAGGGTCCACCCTAGCTGAGCGCTGGCTAGGAGGAGGAGATGATAAGGGATGGCAAGATGGCAAGGAGATGATAAGGGAGCCAAATGGAGTATGTCGGTAAATACTACGGAGACTACAATGCCACGCAAAAACTAGCCCCGACAGTCAGCGACTGCAATACAGAACAAAACAGTAGCACCACGGTGGGCGACGATGTCGCCAATGTACGCCAATGTCGGGCAGCACAGGGCAGGGTAAGACGGGGCGGGGACGGACAGGCGACCAGACCACTAGCAAAGTGACTGAGCATCTGCCACGGCAGGCCAGATTATGTTCATCGGTGCCTTCTTTTCCATGTTCACTGCTTCACTCAATTTGATCGGGAGTTATGTATTTGCAACAACAACAAAAAAGTGCCATCAGAGGACAGGCAATATCCAAAATGCACAAGCTAAGCATCGGGGCTTGCTATATAATCAATGAAATGTTCATGTTCAAAGTTTAGTACTCATCGAGACGATTTTCTCCAATTCAGCCCTGGATGACTCCAGGACTGTTGAGGTCCATTAGTAAAAGGAATAAATTACTTAAAGAGTTTCTGAATTGTCGCTCATCAGAGAATTTAAAAAAAATCGTAAATATCGTAATTCACTGCGGTTGGCAATGCGACATGCTAAGAAGGCCTATTATAGAAACCAGTTTGAGAAAAACAGTCAAAATCCCAAGCACTTATGGGCTGATCTTTTGGAAGCGGCTCAAATTAAGACCCACTCGCATGATTTGCCGGACAGATTTGAAGTTGATGGAAGGGATGTAGACAATCCAACTGAAATTGCGGACCTTTTCAATAAGTACTTTGCCCAGGTTGCCCCATCCCTCGAGAAAGTCTCTAGGTCCAAGCCTCAAGAATCCCATATCATATATGAGTCATATAGTTGTACCGGATGTGATGACTTTTCGTCCCGTTACCGAAGATAATGTAATGCAAATTACAGCTTCACTGAAAGATGCAAGCGCAGGCCTTGACAATATTACTAGTAAACTTGTTAAATCTATTTTGCCTAGTATATTAACCCATGTTACATATCTAGTAAATCTATGTTTGTCAAAAAATGTATTTCCTAATATCTTTAAAACAGCACTCATAACTCCTGTTTTTAAGGCAGGATCTAGATCGCAATTTTCAAATTATAGACCGATTTCTGTCTTGTCTGTCTTTTCAAAGATACTTGAGAAGATCATGTTTCAACAACTTACGTCTTTTATTTTTGATAATAATATTCTTTATGAGTACCAATTTGGATTTCGATCTAAGCACTCTACATATATGCCTATTGCACTCTTGCATGACCATATAACTTCCAATCTTGCTAAGGGCAATATATCCACCTCTATTTATTTAGATCTCGCTCGTGCCTTCGACACGGTAAATATAGATATATTGCTTGCAAAATTAAAGGTGTATGGCATTTCTGGTGATTCTCTTGTACTTCTTAAGTCTTATCTTTCAGAGAGAAGTCACATATTAAAATACAAAGGCATCACATCCGGCCCTCAGGAGGTTACATGTGGGGTCCCACAGGGATCTATTTTGGGGCCCTTGCTATTTCTTTTATATATTAATGATCTTAGTTCTGTATCCTCTGAAGCAAAATTTCTCCTCTTTGCTGATGATACAGCAATTTTCTATACGGCTTCTAGCATCAATAACTTGCAAGCTTCTGTGTCTGTGTCATTCCCTAAAATTCTAGAGTGGCTACATTCAAATCGACTATCATTATCAGCTTCAAAAACATTTTATCAGATATTTTCTCCGTCGACTTTTCTTGATGGTCTAAGTATTATGGCCAACAATATACATATTAAGTGGGCACAGACTGTGAAATATCTTGGTGTCCTGGTCGACGAAGACCTCAGGTTTAAGTCGCATATTGAAAAGGTCTCATCCATTGTCAGTAGGAACTTAGGTATAATTAGTAGGGCAAGGTATTTATTTGATAGGAAGCAGGTATTACTCTTATATAACGCTCTTATTCTCCCATACTTCACTTATTGTCTTGTTACCTGAGGGAAATCACAGTCACGCTTCAAATGACTTGAAATAAGAAAGGAAAATATTGGTGCTAAATACACGGTTTCATGTTTTTTTTTTCGTTTACAGTTTACAGCCATCTACACTTAGACAACGAAATCCCTGGAATTGAGAGCACTGCTTAGTCGCGACATTTCTGAACCGTGGAGAGTGGAGACGTTCACGTATGACATTATACGTCAGTGACCTTATCTGAAAATGTGGTGGGTGCCACAAGATCGGAGTTGAAGCAAAGCTCAGGTATGCCAGATTTCAGCCGTATCTCACTAACGCATTCCGAGAAAACGCGTGAGAAAACCATCCGGGAGGGGGGGGGGGGGATTGGCACTAACTCCACCCTCCTCGGTCGACGAGGGTGAAGTGGGCGATGGGCTATGGTATGGCCCTATGCTCGCTGTGGCCGTCAAGGACTGCCGACTGATATAAGCAAAGCGTTGCCTGGCAGCAGGGCTGCGGAGTCGATGGATTTTCGGCGACTCCGACTCCGACTCCGACTCTGGCTTTCAAAAACCAGCTCCGACTCCGACTCCGACTCCGGGCAGAATTGTCGACTCCGACCGACTCCAACTCCCGACTCCGACTCCGCAGACCTAGTAGGGCTGCGGAGTCGACAGATTTTCGGTGACTCCGACTCCGGCTCGGGTTTCTAAAATCGACTCCGACTCCGACTCCGGTCACAACTGTCGACTCCGACCGACTCCGACTCCGACTCCGACTCCGACTCCGCAGCCCTGCCTGGCAGTGTTTCAGAAACGAAGATGATACTTGGTACGGCTGTCTCAACAGCTCGAGCGCGTTTCCTTATACGAGATAAAAAGTTCGGTTTTCGTTTGCTATAAGATTAGCTAATATTTCCAAAAAGTTCTGACGTAAAGTACGTCCTTCGCCTTGTCGTTTCCTTAGATAAACCCTCTTTCTTCATCATCCCACTTTTTTCTACGGCATTATTTGCGTTGACACACGTGCCGCAAGTTGCGAATGGCAAGAGGGCTTGCTACACCATGGATCCCCCGACGTTTGAAACCCGTCCTCCGGGATGAATGATTTCCATAGTTACATCACGGCAGCATAAAGAAACTTTCTCATTGACATTTTATTAACAACAGTTCTGTTTTTTTTCACGTAGCAAACAGATAAAGCAGACATTGCGCGTAGATCACAGTCGCGTGGTTAATTTTAGCGTTTCTGGTCGCCCAGATCGTCGATGAGATCTTCATCAATCTGGAAAGAAGAGTTGATGAATTGTGATGTCTAAAAATATCTAAAGAAGCAATTACGATAAATATTCATCCCTGGAAAACCAGAACAACAAAAAAAGAAAACGTATCGGAAATAGCTTTTTTTGGGGGGAGAGATCAGAAGGCTTAATGGTTCCCCAATAGCTATAACGGCAGTTGAAAGTATATATGTGACGTAAAATATAAGAAATCACGTATATGCGTCTTTTCTCCAATATAACTAAACATCCTTATAGGTATAAGGGTTTTATCCCATGATGTTGTATTGTCATGTCAAAGATTCTATTGACTGAGTATGAACATTCATTTAGAATTTTGATAAATGAAAATGGTCTGAACATGATTATTACTCTTTTACACCGCTCAAATCATTGAAGTCTACTACCTTTATCATGAAAACTTTGACTGCTATTTTGATCCAGTGTTCCCTAAGGCATGGGTAATTCTTGTGAGAGGGGCGACCCGTACCACTCTGGATACGCAGCGCCGGCGCAGAACCAGCCAGACCATCTCAGCGAGCGCTCAGCTTCGGGTCACCTCGGACAGACCGCAGGGAGGTCTCCCTGTCCGACAGGGGCGGAGGGAGCTCTCACCTCGGACCACTTTTCCGGCAGGATGTCGAACAGGTCGTCCTTGACATCGCCCTGCACCACGATCTCGTCTCCGTTACCCGTCACCGAGGAGCCGCACGAGAACTTGTTAGCGAAAAACTTGGACGCCACCTTCAGGTCTATACCTGCGGGGAGAGACAAGGAGCGGGTTATAACACTCTGCAGGCCCTCTACTATGGAGAATGAAAGCCCTTACAGTGAGCATTCGCGAGACCGCCGAACAAAGTGGCAAAGACATTCGTCACTGCAGACATGAAGACAACAATCTATACACAAATCCTATCTCGCACACTCAATACTCCGCATTTATGTACGCTGAAATTGAAGCGCTTCCGGGGCGCGGGGCGCTCACCGAACGTGCTGAGTCCGGTGATGACGGTGACCGACTTCCTCTTGCCGCGGGGCGCGCGCGACAGACAGATCTTCTTTTCCACCTCCTCCTTCTTCTTCGCCCGCATCATGCCCTTGCCGCCGCGCTTCTGTCGCTTCTTCTCGTCGTCGCCGTCATCCTTACCGTCGTCTGAAAAGGGCAGGGTCGACAGAATATAGTAAAGAGTGAATCACTACCACATTGGTCTTGAAACGATGGGTGAATAAAACCATTGAGGTTTGCCACTGAAGCCTCTAGAAAAACCTCTATTGAATGCATAAATAGCACGCACATCCATAGAAGGTAATGCTGACCATCAAAGGTAGGTATTATGGTGTGAGACAAAACCTGCTTCAAAATTAATATGCCTACATTGTAATACTTTTTTTCTTTATAACACTGCTGACAGGCAAGGTCCCTGAACATATTTATAGAAAGATAAAACTGGATAGTCTAGTGAATTAATACATATACACTACCAACTACAAAGGCAGCTATAAATGTCAATGCACTACTCACTCAGCTTCATCATCTTTTCAAATTCATCAGGGAGATTCTGCTCCAGCCATTCTTTGCACTTTTCATACTGGGGGTAGAACTCACAGTACTGGAACACAGCACAAAATGGTAAGGACTAAGGCCATTTGTCATTGTCAACATGACTCTTCAGTTTGCATTATGACAAGGCACATGTATGATACCCAAAATGTCTTGAATTTAAATTGAATAATATCAGAACATTAATCCCAAATAATGTACACGTAAAGATATAAGTAACAAAAACATGCATCTACTGCTACAGAAAAGTTTCTATTTGGCATTTTCTGTCTCACTTTGAGCACAGAACGCCAAGTCATGTGATAATTGGCTCATGATGAGTCCGCCAATAACCACTTCCTCAGATATCAGTGGCAGAACATGACTCTGGTACATGGCATGCTTCCCCACCAGACACTTACCTCCAAAGGCATGGTGCAGTTGCCACAGTAGTAAAGGGTCAGAGGATATTCCACCCCCTCCTGGGGACCCGACGGCAGTGGCTCAACCTCAGCCATGCTTTATCTGAAAGCAATGCACATTGTTACTACCTTGTGCCTTGTACCTTGTAGAATGAGCTGCTTGGGGTGTTCTACACCTGTTTTTCTCGCTTTTTGCTTGAGTTTCTTAATCTTCTATGTAGTTTGACCATGATTTTTACTTTTTACTTGCTAGCACAATGTGTGAATGTAAAAACATTATATTGACAGTAACTCAAATAGTGGGCAAAATACTTGTCATCTAAAGTAATTTATCAATTCACATTTCACATTGTAGTAAAGCAACACAGCATCAAAGCAATTGTTGACCTGGTAAGTGGTAACCCTGGACTGGACGATGAGCTGCTATTACACCGAATCAAGTTAAATAGCAAACATAAGAAGAAAGGCTACCTTTCAAACAAGGAGTAACAAAATAACTTTAAATAGTGATATTACTGTTACAGTGTAGAAACACGGAAAAGGGAACTTGACCATATCAGAAATAACCTGCGAAACAACAAATACCCAGCTAAATACGTGGAGTCAGAAATCAGCAAAGTCGAGAGACAGCATCGAGAGGCAGAACACCAGCCAGTACAACACCAGACAACCCCATCGACAACAAGGGCACCAGCACCATCGCAACAACAAATACAGGATGATGCTGCACGTTCACCAGACGCCACGGCACCACAGCAACGATCCCCGGTCATGGTTATTCCTTATGTGGACGGAGTCTCTCAACAAATACGTCGAGTGTGTTCCAAATTTAACGTCAAAACTTACTTCAAACCGCACAAGACTTTGAAACAACTGCTCGTGAGACCCAAAGACACCATCAACGCTGTAGAAAAACCAGGACCCATTTACAAAATGCAATGTGACGGATGTCCTAAAGTATATATTGGAGAAAGCAAAAGAAATGTGAAAGTTAGACAACAAGAACACCAAAAAAGTGTTAAAAAACTCAATTCGGGCAACATAGACCCACAAACATCGGAAGCAACGGCAGAACACAGCTACGACACAGGACATACAATAAAATGGGAGAACACATCAGTGATTGGATTTGAGGCTAAAAGGAAGCAAAGAGAAATAAAAGAAGCGATATATATCCAAGCTTCAACCGAAGAAAAGATGAACAGAAACGTTGGGAAATATACAATTTACCAGGGATGGATTGACCTCCTCAAGAAAGACGTCAACAAGAAATAGTGAATGACGACCTTTAGTGACCTTTATTTTTTAAGCACGCTCTCCATGCGTTTTCTAACAGAAAAAGCATGATTATAGCTATTCTCTTCAGCGCTTAAATATGTAACCTTTCTCCTTTCTGTATATTTCAATCCCTGATGACGAAGACGAGAGGTCTTTGAAACCGGTTGGATTTATTAAAATATGCTGCTCTGTGCCTCAATATACGTCTTTTTGTTAACTTTAAATAGGTTGGTATACCACTACCAGTAGGTATGGTTTGTGACAAGACAATATCAATATGGTGTGGTTTTTGTTCAATTTTGACCCCATGGTGCAAAAGGGTGATTTCACCGGCACCCTACCTGTTAGATCCCTTTTCTTTTGTCCTGTTAATGTATGTGAATTACACTTGCACTTTTAATCAATTTATTTGGCCCCTATTTTCCGTAGGACCCTCCCTACAAGTGCCCGCGCAATGAATTCACATGCGTGTATCGCGTGTATATACACCACGGTATACACACAGCACGTCTTCTCCTCAATACTTCAAGGAAACCAGAAATACACTATGAGATTATTTATTAAAAGACGTACTAGTGACGTCATCATACAAAAATCACTTGGAAAATACTTATATGTATAGTTAAATATACACTTTGCTACTATTTTATGAATAAATGAAACCAAATCATTGAAATTTCAATAGAAATATATCGAAATGCAAATAATAGACGGCAAGAAAACTTATTAAAATTTAATTGACGTCACCAGATCTTATCGTCTTTTTTTGCGGTTTTCATTTAAAAGTCCAATGTTCACACGGGACAAAAATGACGCACCCAAATCAGCTGATTGAGCGGCCGTTTAAATCCTACTTTTTGCGTGTCAGTTTCTGCACTGACGAGTGTAGAGTTCTAGGATCGAAATTTAATCATTTTTAAGGATTGGAATCACGCGCATTAAAAAGACACATCAGGTTGAGCGTTGCAGTACCATCAACTGTTGGACGAAATCGCAGAGATCCTGACAAAGTCGGTACGTTTTAGTCACTTAGTGTAAACTGTTGGGGTCAATGAGGTTAGGTTTGGTAGGTAGGTAATTTGAAACTGGATTTTAGCGTTTAATAATGCATCTCTTATGATTCTCACAACACAGCTGTACTTACTGGTGATGAGTGTATGACAAAATCATTTGATAAATGCTCATCATGCCACAGGCACAGGGGCGGCAGAAACAGGTCCTAAAGCCATAGGGGGAGGGCACCGTGGCACCGTGCCCCCCTTTGATTTGGGAGTTTTAACATTAGCCATATGGGCATTGCATGGAAAGAATGGGACCAAAAGTCGGCAGTGCCCCCTTGAAGGTGTTCGGCCACTTCTGCCTAAAGCCACTCAATAGTCAATTCCTTCTCCGTTTGAACGAAATATTTGTGCAAAGCCAGTCTGTGGGAACACCAACACATAAGCACTTCTGGCCTGCTCATCTAATGTGAATGTTATCAAATATATCATACACTTGGACTCAATCTTATGGACTATGGTTCTGAGTTGGTGACTGGAATACCAGGGCCATTCTGCTTGCCTTCTCAGCTTCCACCCTGTAGCTCTGAATAGGACTCAACTGTTTGCCTGTTAGGCTTTCACAACCTTGGCTTGTTTAGAAAGGAGAGGAAAACCATTTCCTGTAGAGGCACACCGGCTCTGTAGTCTGTAGTCTTAGTTCAGATGGGGCAGGATTCACTGTGTCAAATTGCAGAACTTCAGACAAGGAATTGAAATAGTGGGTTTGCATTGAATGATTGAATCTAGTCTTCTGGAAAAGCTTGTACACATTTCAATGCCAGAATCCTAATTCATCACGAAAAATCCTAATCTGACTGATGCCAGTTTCTCTGTGTTGGCAGCAAGATGAGCCAGCCGAGCTGCGGGGACCCGGCGTTCCGACACCCGGACACGCCGAAGCGGGCCGGCGACACGGACCAGTGGCGGCGCGGCCCGGCGGCGCCCGGCTGGGACGTCGGCTCCCCGGCACTGCGCGACCCGCGCGCATCCGACCTGCGCACGCCCGGCCGGACCGACGGCGGCGCCCTCGGCTCGACGGCCGACGGCGCCGCCACGCCGGCTCACGTGAACCCGTTCGAGTGTGACGACATGATGACGTCGTTATCGCTGCCGACTTCCAGTCCGTCCCTCTTCGAGCGCGTGCAGAGTCCGGACAAAGAGGTTGGTACCGGGGGCGACACTACAGGCAAGAGTGTGGATTTAATAATTAATTGTTGTTCGCACATAAGCTGTCTGTCTCAGAATCGCTTTCCATGGGGTGACTGGGATTTGGGAAATACAATTTAAGTTTGTCTATGTAATGACAGGTGACGACAGCAGACATTTTCTGGCGGAGATGACACGAGACGTAGAAGCCATTCCGTATTCTCTCTTGCGTATTCTCTCTTCCGTATTCTCTCATGTCCTCCTCTCCCTACATTCTCTCTGTGGCCTCCGTCGACATGAGACGTCCGTTAGTATTCCCCTCCCCAAAATCTCGTAGTGTCTTCCGCCGACATTTTCCCGACAAGTGTCGACCGCTCGTGTCCTCCACCGCGACATCTCACCGTGTCCCTACCGGCAGGAGCTACCCGTTTGTTACGACCCACTGCCTACTATCGTTACCTACTATCCCTGATATCTCACCGTGCCCCTGCCGGCACTGACGACTTTTCCCCGCCGACAGGAGTCCACCCTCGGTAGCCCTCCCTAGTCAGCCCTCTCTCCCGACATATTCTGTGTTCCGCCGCCGGCAGGAGTCCGCCCTCGGTATTCCCACTCCCCTGAGATCTCAGTGTCCCACGCCGACGCGAGCCTGCCCTCGGTATTTCCAAATTCCACTTCCTCCCGATGTCTCACTGTTTCCCGCCGCCGACAGGAGCCCGCCCTCGGTATTCCCACTCCCCTGACATATCAGGGTCCCACGCCGACGCGAGCCTGCCCTCGGTATTTCCACTTGCTCCCGATGTCTCACTGTTTCCCGCCGCCGACAGGAGCCCGCCCTCGGTATTCCCACTCCCCTGACATATCAGGGTCCCACGCCGACGCGAGCCTGCCCTCGGTATTTCCACTTGCTCCCGATGTCTCACTGTTTCCCGCCGCCGACAGGAGCCCGCCCTCGGTATTCCCACTCCCCTGACATATCAGTGTCCCACGCCGACGCGAGCCTGCCCTCGGTATTTCCACTTGCTCCCGATGTCTCACTGTTTCCCGCCGCCGATAGGAGCCCGGTCTGGGGATCGAGCACCGCGCCCAGCTGTTTCCCGCGCAGATCGAGCTGACGCCGTCCACCTACCACAAACAGCTGATGGCGCAGCACTACGATCCGCACAAGGAGGTGCAGGTGCAGACCGCCATCGAACGGTGAGCTGAGCGGCCACTGCGTCTCCGTATCGGACTCACAATAGTGTTCTTTAGCTGGCTAGTGGCTATGTTATGAGAAAGATGAGATACATCATTTTGAACAAAAGCATTTGACATTTCAACGTTGCTTCGTGAGTATCGTCGCAAGGTACCTTAAAATCTCGACAGTTACTAGACTGGTACCAATGTATCCGTTGCAGAAGGTGATAAACTGATGTAAGACGTAAGATATTAGGGCTAAAACCAGTAAAGACGGGTGGACGCCAGAGAGGGATATATTCATTGGTTCCCGTTTCCATAAACCTGCCGATATCGAATGCCAGTGTCGGGACATTGTGTCAGTAACGAAGCTGTATTATCCCTTACCTCGCTGCCTACCGACTGATCCGTTGCCGATGTCGGTTATCACCGTCCGCAGTTTCTTCAACTCTGAGAAGATCGTGCCGTCTCCGTGGAGCGCCGGGCCGCAGCGGCGCGTGCTGCCGCCGGCCGCCGGTCTCCAGGAGAGTCCTCTGGCGGCGGCCGGGCCCGGCCCGCTGCTGCGCCACTGCGCCGTCCAGACGGAGCTGTCACTGCCGGCGCGGCTGCCAGCCGAGCTGGAGCGCGCGCTGGCGCCCTACCTGCGTGGCGCGGCCGTGAGTACCGGCCAGTGTGCCTGCCGCCTGTGGGGCTAAACGGTGGAGGGGGGTCGCCGGACTTTGGGTACGATATGTCGACGTGCGGATTGTCAATTTCGGTGTGACTGATCGGCCTGCACCGCTAGTTGGTCACTGCGGAAGTCTCAACAGACTGGAGGTTTGAAACTGATCAATCGGGTACCTACCGACCCTGCGTATTTGGGACCTGTCACAGCGCACTGAAGCTTTTTATACTGAATAGCAGCTTACATATGTGACTCTGAACAAACAGGAGCATTTTAGGAGTGGCTCCACCCCAGCTATATTCCACCTCTCTTCAAGGCAGGCATGCTGGTGGTTGCAGTTTTGTGACCATTTTCACCAGTTTTCTGACGGTCGTCTGTCGTGTCTCCAGGATCGGAGTTCCAGTCCTCAGGAGGACGACTCGATGCTTAGTAACTCGACCCTGCGCCGACGGCTGCTCTTCCACAACGCCGGCGCTGGCGAGCTGGCCAGCGCGGATGTGTCCATGGCCGACCCGGACACTAGCGTCTACCACTTCCCCGACAGCCCGGACAAGGTAGAGTAGAGTGATTATTCCCCGGACACCAGCGTCTACCACTTTCCAGACAACCTGGACAAGGTGAAATTCCCGGACACTAGCGTCTACCACTTCCCCGACAGCCTGGACAAGGTAGAAATACCGTGATAAATATAGTATTTACCACTTACTGGACACCAGCGTCTACCACTTCTCCGACAGCCCGGACAAGGTGGGTCCCAACTCCCAGACAAGCATCCCTATGGGCTGTTTTTGATTTGGAAGCATAATCACTACACTGTATAGTGTATAGATGCATTGGAGCTAAATCGACTGGTACGAATGAAAGTGAATGAAGTGAAATGAATGCATTTATCATTCATGTTTTTTTTTTTACTGAAACTTTCCCAACTTACTGTGCTAAGAATTACGACTGTACCCCTCCCGCCCCGTCCGTCGCTAGTTGTCCCATTTATCGCCAAGCTGACGTGTCCATCTGTCTTTCCGTCCGACAGGGCCACCTGGTACCGACGTCACCGCCCTCTCCGGGCGGCGCGCGCGCCTCCGAACAGCACAGGACCGATGTGGAGTCGCCACCCGTCTCACCCATCGCCAAGTCGATGCTGGATTCCCCGAGTACGAGCAGTATAAAGTCGCAGGGCCTGGCGCGCATCCGCTACCCGAGCTCAGGTGAGACTGGGGCACGGCTGCGGCAGGAGCGAGCGGGGTCTGAATGTCAGAGCTTCAGAAGGTGACCAATACGGTCACCTGACTGATAACGCATCATATGACAATCAGATAAACACACTTAGCGATCAGAGTAAACTTTGTTGAGCAACGTTGGACATTGGACAACTTCGCCGCTAAAGATAACTCTGACTAGGTTTTGCTCAGAACAAAATGCAGTCTTCTGCATGTAGTTCCCTGTATGGCCGGCTTCCGATCAGATCATGCTACACCTGTTATATTGGCAGCTTATCCGTGCGTCGGTTTCATGGTAATATTGAAGTGGCGCTGGAATATTTCACTCGTGTCCCACCCGGTCGTATGATGCCCGCTGACCAGGCCTCTCCACTCCGCCAGACCTGTCGGAGGCCGACTGTGACGAGCCGACCGGCGTAGAGTGTTTCAACGACCGTCACGACTCCAGCGCGGCTGCCTGCGCCGGCGGCGGCCCGGGCGCGGCCGCTGCTGTCGGCGCCGACGGCTCGCTGCCGGGTGCCGACGACTCTGCGCCGCAGGACACGGGCTACCACTCGACGCTCACGTCGCTGCCGTCACTGTCGGCGCGCCACCTAGCGGCGGCTGAGAGCAGCCAGCTCGCGCGGCTGATCGGCTCCGGCTCGGCCTCCATGCTCGCCTCCACGCGGCTCGACGAGCCGTCCGTGCTGACGGCGCCGGCAGAGGACGAGGGTCGCGCCCGGCCGCCGGTACCCATCGGGTCGTCGACTCCGAGCCGCTCCCAGCGCCGGTGACCACCGCCCGCCGAGGGGCGGTGCTCCTAGGTCTTCAGTGACTCGTGTGGGCGGTACCGCGCCCCTAGGTCTTCAGTGCCTCCAGTGTGGGCGGTACCGCGCCGCTAGGTCTTCAGTACCTCCTCAGGGAGTGGTGTTGGCGTCCCTAGGCCCTCAATACTCAGTGGCGCCTTGGGATGAGCCCGCCGCCCCCTGCCTTCCCTTGGCTATCATTCTCGAGATGTCGACACTTAGAACTCCATACATCACTAGCAGGGCTGCGGAGTCGATGGATTTTCGGCGACTCCGACTCCGACTCCGACTCCCGCTTTCAAAAACCAGCTCCGACTCCGACTCCGACTCCGGGCAGAATCGTCGACTCCGACCGACTCCAACTCCCGACTCCGACTCCGCAGACCTAGCAGGGCTGCGGAGTCGACAGATTTTCTGTGACTCCGACTCCGACTCCGGCTCGGGTTTCTAAAATCGACTCCGACTCCGACTCCGACTCCGGTCACAACTGTCGACTCCGACCGACTCCGACTCCGACTCCGACTCCGACTCCGCAGCCCTGATCACTAGTCTAGGCTAGATACAACCTTCTCGATATTAGCAGTGACTGGTGTTCACTCGTTCAATTTCGCAGCGAGTGAGCTGCAGCATGAATGCGTTGTCCTGTGTTGTATGGTCTCCCCAGGTGGTTGACTCAGGCGCTCGTCTATCATATGCCGTTAGTTCATCGGGAGAGTCGCGCTTTGGTGCGGACTGTTGGGGATGCGGCAGTCCCCAGTGGCACTTAACTGGGTCGGTTCGTGGGCACATGTAGCGGTATAACCTAGGCATTAATCAGGGCGCAAAACAGCGCCGAGGGAGCCATTTTACCTCATGGAATCGTTTAAACACTGCCAGCGCCTTGCGCAGTTATGGTGCTTACTGGAAAGTCTTAAGTGACTTAGCAATCCTAAAAAGACCATGTGTGTTCCCCGTGGACCTCTGTAGACCTCCGTGGCATCGTAAACGAATTAGTTCTAGCTCCTCAGATGCGTACGTGACACGTTCGACTGGGTGATACTGGTCGCGTGTTATGTCGTTCGTTCAAGTTCGCGATCGTGTTGAGTAGCGAGGGGCGGGGTGGGCTGTTCCAGGCATACAGTGACCGTTACGTCCTTTTGCCGTCCCTTAGTGGCTGAATTGGTGCGGGCACGAGAGGCAATCCAGGGGCGGGCGGGCATTAGACATATCTGCACGAGCGTAAGGGCTGCTGTCGTTCTGGAACGGAATGCCTCACCGGTCTGCGTATAAAAGTGCGTTTATAATAAGTGTTAGGGCATTGACTGCTCAAGGGATGGGGACAGTGTACAGTGTTGGTTTGAGCTCATCTTATGCCCTGTGTACTCAGCATTTGGTTACCATTAACAGCGACTTTTTCGTAGGAGTAAGTGCCAAATGTTCATCGCATTCGTATTGTACTGTAACACACACATGTCGCGCATGCCGTGAAATTATGGTAGGCTTTTTAACAATCACCAACTCTGATCTCAGCTTCTGGGTCCCGACAATTCCGGTGCCGCCGACAAGTGCCTTTAACTGGGGTCTTTTGTCGCCGCATTAGTCCAGCGGTGACGACTCGTAAAGCCGGGTGATGTCAGCAGTTGACCGATCGGCCGGCAGAGGGCACGCTGCTCGACCGGCCTCGCTGCCCGCCAGACGTACGTTCCACGGCCTGATATGTGGTGGTAATAAATGGTGTATAACCGATAATTCGACGTGTGTTGGGAGGTGACGCATGCGACTGATAGGGAATTACGCCCGAGCCATCGGACAAGCTGGGCGCCAAGACAAATCTGATATCGCAAAACCTCGTCACGGTCCTCTAATTAGCGCTCAGAAACAACCCTCCGGTCATGAGTCCTATCACCTCTAACCAGCTCTAGCCAGAGCCGACCAACAGCGTGCAGACTGCACGCTCTGAGCAGCACGCAGCGTCCACCGCCTGCAGCTACCCCCTCCCCTCCCCACGGCCTGCAGTCGCCCACCCCCGGGGATACCCCTCCCCTCCCTCCCCCGGCACGTCGCCGCTTCCACACTCGCCGCCGCAACTTCTTCAGTCACGAACCGGCGAGTACTCAGCGCTAAGTGCTATCTGACCTTGCCGTGTATCCTCCCCCCCCATCCCCACCGTGAGGAACCGGGCCTCGGCCAACACAGCGGGTCATTGTGGGCGGCTGCCAGCCCGCCGCCCGCCGCCGCCGCCGGGCCGGCTGGGGGACCGTCCCGTCTTGTCAGTCGGCGGCAGAGTCGCGTGGGGCGAGGTGTGGTTATAGTGGTGCGGAGAGGAGCAGCTCAGACGGCGCTACAGGCGTAATCGACTGCAGATAGCTGACAGGTAAGAGCCCAGCGAGGGAAATGTCAAGATTGGCGAGACTGGTGCAGCAGCACTGGCGAATGTCGGTGGATTCAGCGCGGCTATACACGCGACGAGTTTCGTGTTCGTTCAACTTCGTTCCCTTGCAGTTTTAATCCGATGTATAACCAGACTTCAATGCAAATTCTCTCGAAAGCCTATTTGATTTACGGCTGGTTCGCTTGCTCACAAAAAAATATCTTCAACGAAGTTCCTCTGAAAACCTGCATCTCAAATAGGTCCTTGGCAGAGCTCCCACCCGTACTGCCATCACCGTCTCGCCTGAACGCCTGCCTTCGTCCGACAATATCACTGATCGTCGCGTCATTACTGTTCTATCAGACCGACTCCCATGTATAACACGCCGTCGCTCGGCCCGGTCATGGTTTCCCTGGCCCGGCCCGGGCCGTTTTCCGCCACCCCCAGCCCGCGCGGCGGCGCCGGACTCCCCGGCCTGGCCGGTCGAACGTGTTTGCTTTAGCCGCCCCCGCCCCCGCCCCCGCCCCCGGTAGCTGGCTGTTGACTCAGCTCAGCGGGCGACCAGCTCATACCATGTTTTCACGTGTTCGATGCCGATCGACCTTGGCCGTTGGACCGGCTGATCGGCATTGTCCGCAGATGTTTGGGACTGTAATACCTGACTCAGTCGTATATGGATACTCGAACCAGTCAGAGACAGTCAACGGAAGTGACAGTTGATGCTCGAATTCAGGCTCGAATTTAGGCTTGATTACGGTGAGGCTGAAACCGTGCCTGATCTTCAATATGACACTTGGTTTTAATTTTTGCGACCCAATGTGTCGTACAGTCTGTCTTAAAGGGACCCTCCCACCTTAACATTAGATTTGAGTTGAGATAGCCAAAATGGGGTCCCTGGCTCACAATTACCGGTTTCGGCACTCACAACATCGAGAAATGCCTTAAATCGGAGATATTGAATTTCAAAATTGCAGCATTTTGATTCAGAGGGGCTAATGCTTAGGAATACCCCTCTGAATGTGTGACGTCAGCGCAGATATCTAGCGATTTTTAATTGTTTGACTAAAACGTTTTGTAGCACGCGGTGGTATATGCTATTTGCGCGCAACATCTGCCGCAAACGCCGCTTTTCTAAAATAAAGTCGCTAGAAACAGCGGAGATCCCAAAAAAGTAAACAAAAGTAAAAGTCTAATATCTTGAAAACCGGTGAATATTTTTCGGTGAAATTTGGTAGATATTCGTTTTCGCTCTTTCTGAACCGAGCGACATCATTTTCATGCCAATTCATAAACTTTTTTGAAGGTGGGAGGGTCCCTTTAAAAGTACCGCGCAAAGTGACGGTGGATCCATCAAGCCTGACCGAGGAAGGGCCTGCTATAATTTGCAAATCACCGAACCAATTGACCTGGAGAATGGACGAGGATGTAAATGCTTCGGTGACTTAAATTTAGCAGGCCCTTCCTCGGTTAGGCTTGATGGATCCACCGTCACTTTGCGCGGTACTTTTAACCCTATTCCTGGCGGGCTCCGCCGGGACAAGAAACTGGCGGGGGGGCCGATTCGGCCCCCCCTGAGATCTCGAGAACGAAGCAAGATAGCGACAAGCGGTAAACGGCATCGGATACGCACGGCCAAGATCTACAATTTTTACTAAGGTCATTTTCAGGTCAGGTCAAAGATGACGTCACAGGGGTCGAAAAAGTCAAAATGGCGGCACTAGATATGGAGATAGTTTTTCTCGAATAACTTTCGAATTAGTCAAGATAGGAACAAACTAAGGGCATCATCGTGATCCTCTCGTCAATCCGCATCGAATGATATATATGTTGACCTCGAAAGGTCAAGGTCAAAGGTTGACCTCAGGTCACGTGACCTCGAGGTCATCATGTATATCATTCGATGCGTCTTGACGAGCTGAACACAATGAGACCATCCACGCGTCTGTATCTTGTTCCTGCACGGAGTTATTGGCCAAAAACCTTTGGTGACCTTTGATGACGTCACATGACCTCACAGCTGCCCAACAGCAAAACAGACCTCAAGGTAGTGAAGGTTGATCGTATATGAAGTCATGTATGGTATATGGGGCCATTCCGACCCGTTTTAGTGGTAAAAACAGGGAGTTGATTTTTCCCCCATTGACTTATAATGGGGAGGTCGCGAAATTGACCTGACCTTAGGTCACCGATATCAAAATTCCGAGATATACAAATTGCACATACTGGCACCCTAACTAAACCCTGAAGAGAAGAAATTGATCGGTCAAAAACTCTAGCTCTGGCGTGATTGCAAACTTTTCTGAGGTAGCCTCACCAAACCGCCTCTGGTGACCTGACCTGAGGTCAGATCAACTCCAAATTTTCAGACATGTTGCGTAGAAGCCTTTTAGGAAAAGTCAGAAAATTTGAGCTTCCTAGCTCAACGCGTTTGGGAGATATAACCAAAAAACCTCAGGGGGGGCTCCTGAGGCCCCCCCCCCGCCAGGAATAGGGTTAAGACAGACTGTACGTACGTAGACAAACCTTCGTACCTAGAAATAATAGCTCGACCAAATCAAAATAGAGAGGCGCTCGAAGCGGCGCCTGCCAGGCAGGAAGGGGCCACCCTGCCCTGGATAGATGCCAATACGAGTTCGCTGTTGGCACCATGAGGCACAACGGCGAATTCCACTGTCATACGAACCCGCTCCTCTGATGTAGCTAGGTAAACTTTGAGGTCCTATTATATTTTACATTGGCCTACTCTCCCCACAGAATATTCGTCCGTCACTACTCATGTAAACCTACACCTACATGTACTGTATAAGAGAAAACGGGAGCAATCACTGTGTTGATGATAGTTGACACGGACAACTGCATGCACTTGTAGGATTGTCTAAACTCGCCCTGAGCGTACTATTTATGCGTTGCTGATGTCTGTCGGTGACAGGTGGTGATGTCTGCTGTTGACAGGTCAAGCTGACAGACGGGGTGGGGGCGGCGGAAGTTGTGAGCTGAGCCGAGCGGCAGTCAGCCTGTCCCCTGAGCCTCCACGGAGAGACACCGGGACGGGAGGACGGCTGCGGCGCAGACCGGCGCCAGTGACGGCGGTGTGACTGTGTGACGTTGTGGCGCTGACGTCAGTGACGTCAGTGTGACGTCGTGACGTCAGTGACGCTGTGACGTCAGTGTGACGCCGGCGCGGTGCGATGACGCGCGGCCGGTACCAGGTGACGCGGCTGGGAGAGGACGAGGGGGCCGCTGCCGGGCCTGGCTGCTGCCGCTGCTCCCGGCCCGTCCGGCTGGCGCTGCTGGTGTTGGCGCTGGTGCTGGTGCTGGCTGCAGCGGCCGCAGTGACCGCTGTGGTGCTGCTGAGACAGGAGGAGCACAGGAGCGCAGTCTACCCGGCGGACGAGTCCCGTGAGTGAACCCGAGCGGTGCGGTACGGAGATTGAGTCACACTGCCGAAATACACCGCACAACGCGCATTGGGCAGAGCGATTCGGGTGGCAACATGCACCAAAGAACTTAGAGTAAAACCCGCAAATGCGTAAGGGACAGGGACCTAACCACATACCACCGTGCTGTCGACATGTTTGATGCATGTTTTTAATATGCATTCAGGGATTGTAACGACCCGCCGTGCATCTAACAACGACTGTTTTGTGTTCATTCAATCCAATGCTTCCCAGTCATTCCATTGAGTGACTTATTCGCGGCAGGCTTGTACCGCGGCGGACCCGGTGTCACCGAGGGTGACATGCTGGGTCTCAACACCAGCTCTGGCGAGCTGAGCGCCACACGCGACCCGAAGCGCCTCTGGCCGCTGGGAGCTGTCGCCTACCGCACAGAAGCCGACATCGGCTGCCCCTACTCGGCCAGGTCAGAGACCGTCCTGCTAGTCGGGTCAGGTCGCACTGTCTTCAGTCTGGTGGGAGCATGTCAGATATTGTCAGACTTTGTGTTTGTATGTAAGCGAGTAAGTTTATGTGTGTTTACTGTTTGTGTATTTGTATCCCCGTGCCCCCAGGTGCGCAGTGTTTATGTGTGTCTGTAGGTGCACAGTGCCTATGCTTGTATCCATCTGACCATATCCCCGTGCCCTCAGGTGTGCGGTGCTGAGGTGTGTATTTGTGTCCCATGCCCTCAGGTGCGCTGTGTTATTGTGTGTATCAGCTGTGTTTCTGTACGTCCAGGTGCGCTGTGTTATTGAGGGTATCAGCTGTGTTTCTGTACCCCCAGGTGCGCTGTGTTATATTGTGTGTATCAGCTGTGTTTCTGCACCCTCAGATGCGCAGTGTTATTGTGTGTATCAGCTGTGTCCCTGTACCCCCAGGTGCGCTGTGTTATTGTGTGTATCAGCTGTGTCCCTGTACCCTCAGGTGCGCTGTGTTATTGTGTGTATCAGCTATGTCCCTGACCCTCAGGTGCGCTGTGTTATTGTGTGTATCAGCGGTGTTTCTGTACCCTCAGGTGCGCTGTGTTATTGTGTGTATCAGCGGTGTTTCTCATGGTGTGTCAAAAGTGGAAATAGCCACCCGGCTTTAGTTCGCCAGCCTTGTCAATAGATGGCAGTACCACAATATGGGCAGCGGATCGTGCAATTGACGTCAAATTTTCGTTACTTGCTAAGAATTGAATGGCGGATCTTTTCATGCAAGAATCAAGTAAATCGGTCCACAACTTTTCTAGCAACAGAGATATGAAGTCAAACACCCTGCCAGAGCGGCGGCCGGCGGCGCCGCGCCGCCGCCGGCCGCCGAATGGCGGCGCTGAACGGTTCCGAATTGGCACTGCACTAAAACCTGTTAACTGCTGGGAATAGTGATTACAGCAAAATTTTCATTCAAGTGAGGAATAACCAAGGGCAGGAAATATGTATGCTTGTGTGCGTACTGTGTAAGCCAAGAAACTGCATTAGCAGATACTCGCTAATATTAGATCCAGCCAAGTCCAAACGCATTCCAGGGGATGTGTTTCTAATGGGTCAACAATATTTATCGTTCGAGGGCGGATACAGTTTTAACAATACAAAAAATATTTTTGCACAGCTCAATTCCTTGAACAATTCTCTTCAACGCCTCATTCCTAGTTAAAGGGACCCTCCCACCTTAACATTAGTTTTGAGTTGAGATAGCCAAGTTTGCGGCCAGGCTCAGAAACCACCATTTATCCTGGTCGCAACCCCCGCAGCTTTATGGTGTTCAAGAAATTTCTTCCCTTTACTTGCAGGGTGGGACCAGCGTGGTCCCTATCTCTTAACCATTACGGGAATCTGATGACGTCATCAGGCTTTCGAACGTCCGTTAAATGTTTGACTAAAACGTTTTGTAGGACGCGATGGAATATGCTGCTTTGCGCGCAACAAATGCCGCACTTTCAAATAAAGTCGCTAGGAACAGCGGAGATCCCAAAAAGTAAACAAAAGTAAAAGTCTAATATCTTGAAAACCGGTGAATATTTTTCGATGAAATTTGGTAGATATTCGTTTTTGCTCTTTCTAAACCGAGCGACATCACTTTCATGCCAATTCATTAACTTCTTTGAAGGTGGGAGGGTCCCTTTAAGCGAATTAGCCCACCCTGGTTGAATAAATAAGGCGATTTCGCCACAAGGTCGCGGAAAACCGACCGAAAACGGCCGCGCTCAACGTTAATTTGGGCATGCAGACTCTTAAAAACTCGCATTGGGCGGATAGGGTTTCCCAGGTATTGGCTCCAAAACACCGCATTCGGCTCCCGAATACGTCCAAGTGACCCGCCTCGTTCCTAGTTAAGCTCTAATTAGATCAAGTGACTCATAAGGAGCGAAAAAGCGACAAAAAGCATGAATTTCCCTATGGCGGCGGGCTGCCGGGTTGCCAGACGGCGCACCGGCTATTTCTACTTTTGACACACCATGGTACGCTCAGGTGCGCTGTGTTATTGTGTGTATCAGCTGTGTTTCTGTACCTCCAGGTGCGCTGTGTTATTGAGGGTATCAGCTGTGTTTCTGTACCCCCAGGTGCGCTGTGTTATATTGTGTGTATCAGCTGTGTTTCTGCACCCTCAGGTGCGCTGTGTTATTGTGTGTATCAGCTGTGTCCCTGTACCCTCAGGTGCGCTGTGTTATTGTGTGTATCAGCTATGTCCCTGACCCTCAGGTGCGCTGTGTTATTGTGTGTATCAGCGGTGTTTCTGTACCCTCAGGTGCGCTGTGTTATTGTGTGTATCAGCGGTGTTTCTGTACCCTCAGGTGCGCTGTGTTATTGTGTGTATCAGCTGTGTTTCTGTACCTCCAGGTGCGCTGTGTTATTGAGGGTATCAGCTGTGTTTCTGTACCCCCAGGTGCGCTGTGTTATATTGTGTGTATCAGCGGTGTTTCTGTACCCTCAGGTGCGCTGTGTTATTGTGTGTATCAGCGGTGTTTCTGTACCCTCAGGTGCGCTGTGTTATTGTGTGTATCAGCTGTGTTTCTGTACCCTCAGGTGTGCTGTGTTATTGTGTGTATCAGCTGTGTTTCTGTACCTCCAGGTGCGCTGTGTTATTGAGTGTATCAGCTGTGTCCCTGTACTCTCAGGTGCGCTGTGTTATTGAGTGTATCAGCTGTGTTTCTGTACCCCCGGGCGCGCTGTGCTAACGCTGTGTTATTGTGTGTATCAGCGGTGTTTCTGTACCCTCAGGTGCGCTGTGTTATTGTGTGTATCAGCGGTGTTTCTGTACGCTCAGGTGCGCTGTGCTGCTGACTGCCATGGCCGAGTACAGCGGCCGTACGTGTGTCCGCTGGCAGTCGGTGGAGGAGACGGACGGGCGTGGCGACCGGTCGGAGGAGCTGCTGGTGCGCTACCGACCCGACTCCGGCTGCTACGCCAGCGTCGGATACCGGGTACGACCAGACAGCCGGGGCACGGACAGAAGAAGGGATGGGAAGGCAGGGGGCGCTATCTACACTTAACGCACATACCACAACTAGCCTAGTGCTTCTGAAGTTCTGAGTCTCCAAGTTCTTGTACTATGCACTATATTTGTAGATTGTAGTTTGTAGCGTGTAGCGTATAGCTCCACCTTGTGACACCCTGCCAAAATATTATTTTGACGATAGGATTCTCCAGTCTCTCCAATAACAGGCATTCTGTTACGGTCTTCATCAGGGGTTCACCGGCGCTGATTCGCCGCCGCAGCTCCTGGTTCTGGGAGACGGCTGCTTCAACATGGGCATACTGCTGCACCTGCTCGGACACACGGTACGGTACGATGCTGTACGACACGGTACGGTACGGTACAACATTGTACGGTAGCACGCTGTAAGGCACAACTACGATCTGCTCGATCCGTGCGCACGCACTGTAGGTGTGACGGTCCCTGAGTTCCTCACAGTGAGGTCTACCACACATTCCATGACCGTGATGGTCCAAATCTCAGGAGACTTGAAAAGCCTTGTTGCCTTGTTTCTTCGGGTACCCGCCTAAGCTGACGGTCGGTTGATGTGTTGCAGCTGGGTCTGTGGCACGAGCATAACCGGCCCGACCGGGACAGCTGGATGGACGTGAACATGACGAACGTCGATCCGGCGCACGTGGACGCCTTCCGCACCTTCACGCTCAACCAGCACCGCGTCGTCGACCGGCTCGACTACTCGTGAGTCGCCGCAGCGCCACGCGGGACAGCCCCTACACCGCACGGACCATCGGTGTTTGTCGGTCATGTCCGTAGGCTGGTGGTGATGATGTTTATGAACTACGCATATCGGCAATTTCCTTAAGTGTTTGCACATTATGTTACCTGTTCTGCTTGTCTCCATCACGGTACAATCTGTAGATACGTTCTTCATGTTGGTTCGTCATGCCAGCAACACTGTAGAGATGTTTGTCCCATATCCCGGCACTCGTCCGGTCGATAACAAAGTTTCCTTCCCACACCTCCAGGTCGGTGATGATGTTCGGCGGACACGCGTTCTCGTCCTCCGGCAGCGTCACCCTGCGGCCTCACTGGTCCAACAGCGGCACCCTGGTCCCACTGCAGAACAAGACGCAGCTTAGTGAACAGGATGTCGACCGCGTGCAGGCCATGTATATCAGGGTGTGCAGCAAACGAAGGCGGCTCGAGGAGTCCTGACCGGGAGAGGGGTCACGCCTGACGGGGATGGAGGGACAGAGGCCAGGTCACACCTGACAGACATCCGGGGACGGCGGCAGGGCAGCCGGCGAGAGGTCCTTCAGCGAGGGTCACTGCAGCTAGCGAGAGACCCTTGGGGCAGGGGCAGGGCAGCTGGCGAGAGGCCCTAGGTACAGGGCAGGGCGGCTGGCGAGAGGCCCTTTGAGCAGGGACAGAGCGAAGCTTTGTGAAGGCCCTAGGAACGGTGGGGTGTTACGGCTTCACGAAGACTTGAGAATTCTGGTTCGGTCAAGAGACAAGAGGGAGACTGGGCTTCCCATAGAATCTGCAGCTACACTCAGTAGGGTAGAGTGCGTCTTGGCGGGATATCCTGCGTCGCTCGTATCGTCACTGTGGCATTGTCTTGTATCAGGACAACCAGCGGCCAAGGCGTGAATCTGCTGCCGGAAAAACTTCGCACCAGTGGTTGTGCATTTGCAAGTCGCAGTCGCTTCAGGCGCTACCAATGCTGCTTGAAGCTTGGGATGTTCCAACATATCGGCGAGTCGGCCATTGTTGTTGGTTTTGTATTGTGACGGAGGATACTGAGTGTTATGGGGTACCATGTAACGTACGTACGCAGCCGCTATGCTACGAGTTGTTCAATTTCAAGTGTGAATGCTGACAATAAGCTCCCTGAGCTACTGGGAGTCCAAAGAATACATACAAGACGTGGATCTTACTTCTCGCTTCAATGGCCTACTGCTCGAAGTCACTTCTCTCACCGAACACTCTCCGAAGAGCTACATAGCACTACCATCGAATTATACCAGAGTATAAGTACGACTGGCAGATAGTTCCGCCACAGGAGGCCGTAACCACTGTGCTAACCGTTATGACGCGTCATGTCCCTACATAACGACGTTCAGGTCGGACACTGCCGCTTACGGAGGACGAATGTTGACTGGGGGGTGGGGGGTGGGGGTGGGGGGAGTTCGAAAGTTGTTCGAAGTTCAGGGTAGGTGTGGAGTGAGGATTGAGGAAGGTGACCAGTACCCACTCAGAACCCATACGAGCAGATCACGTCCACTTACGACGCCTCAGCTGCACCGAGTCGGTACCTCTCTTTTGTCGGGTGACTTCGTTAGCGGGAGGTTATAGGGAACATCTCTTACCAAAGAGCGACTCACGCAAGAGTTAAGGTAGTCCATTCCGGAAATTTCGAACAATAACAAGCCGTTATCACAACTCAAGTAAACAAATTTGCAGCAAGTTTGCGGTCACTTTTGTCGATGGAATAAATTTGTTGTCGCGAGGAATGTATTTTCTGCAATGACAAGAAGCCACTATTGACTATCATTACTTTGTAACCTTGGAACTTACATAAGTAGCACTTTTATCGAACTTATTCGGAGACGTCGACCTCCGAAAATACAGTCTTAGTTCGAGCGGCAAAGAGCCGACCTCCGCTTAAAAGCAGCACAGGGCCGACCCCTACGGTCTACTAGGGCCAACAATCAACATAGCATATGGCCAACAGCGTCCCTACAGGCAGCAGCGAGGGCCGACCTCCGCACCCTAGGGGCAGCAGAGGGCCGACCTATAGGCAGCAGAGGGCCAGCAGGAGGGCGATGACCACCCCGCAGAGCTGTGAGCCGGCCACCACGTACCCCACCCAGGTGACCACGGCCACTACGAAGCCATGCGCGGCGTGCAGGAACTGACCGCACGGCTGTGGGTGAGACATCTCGCGGGCCCGCTCCAGGTCCAGTCGCGGCCGGCGCCGCAGCGTGGCGTTACAGTGCGCCGCGTCCACGCAGCACGAGGTCGGTATGGTGATGTTCTGGGAGATGAACTCGTCCACGCCAGTTTTACCGCAGCACTGAAACGGCGTCACGTGACAGGATATAAACCCGCAAACTAGGAAAACATCATACATTCAAGCCATTGATAAGGCGTATCCTGCGTATTCCCGAAGTGTATATTATAACACGAGTATAACCTAAATTGTCTAACCACGAGTTGTCTATATACTCTGAGTATCACGACCAACTAGCGCCATCTGTCGGGTATGTCACAACGATGTCACATGCTGAACTATATAATGCAAGCAGGCATCTGTTGAGATTAGCTTCAATATCGACATAGAAAGCCACGATTCAGCCGTTACCGCCCCCGCTATGACGTCACCCAACAGGCCGCGCTATTGATCGGGATACTCGTGTTATACACTAGGCCTAGGGGAATACGCGACCAGCTCTCTGCTAGCACCGTGCACGTCTCACCTTGAACAGGGACTGTATGGTGTTGACTGTGCGCAGTGCCGACTCGGCCACAGTGGTGGCGTTCGGGGCCAGCTGAGCGCGCAGCTCGCTCACCGTCTTGTTGATACGCTCCACGGAGCGGGTCGAGTTGTCACTCGTCTCACTTCGGACACGCTTCAGCACCTGGAAGGAAGGGAGGGGTCAGACGAGGTGTCAGGTGGTGGGCTGTAGCCTGTGCCCTGTAGTACCAGGGCCCAAAACACGGCATACTGATGTATGATGTACTGATGTATGTATGAGCGGACACGTCAGGACTTGTTGACCATCAAGTAGCAACAAACTGATCAGCTACACTGCATAGCGGATACAAACCACTCAAGTCATACCGCATGAATAAATTAGACAATGGTGAACCCTCGTCAATTTTTTACATGAAACATCCAAAATGTAGTTGTCATATGTAGAGTTGATTGAAAACGACTCGTCACGATTGAGCCCCCGCACACCAACTCACATGAGCGGCGTAGGCGTTCATCTCGACGGTCCACACGCTCTGCGGGTCGTCGTCCATCTGCAGCTGGTCTAGGTCCGGGTGGCGGCTGGCGGCGCGTCGCTGCAGATGGGTGACTAGGAGGTGTCCACCCACCACCACACCGGTCACCAGCGCGTACCCGAGCAGCAGGCACCTGTCCACATGGGCTGGTTAGTGCGGGGAACAGAGGGAAGTGGGATGTGGCCGGAAGGCAGAAGAGGAGCTACGTGTCATCGGTCCCTGCACTTGATGGATCAGGTCTGTGTCGATCTCTCTGTTCCTCACCTGATACGGAGGAGGGCGCCGACGAACCCGCAGGCGTTTGTTGCGACGGCGAGTCCGCTGGCGGCGACCAGCAGCCACAGCTGAACGAGGCCGCGGTGATCCACAGAGTACTCCTCTGGACGGCTGGGTGAGAACGATACAGGACGTCATAAGGCACAGAGATGGCGTCACACCGCACATACAGCCTACAGGGGAAGCGCCTACAGGATAGGGCGCTTCGAGGAAAAGACGCTTTGGCCAACAAAGCACCGTCACACAGAAAGATGTCATGAAATAACAACATACAATGCTAAGAAGTCAATAAACGTGAACGACTTACTTGTAGACGTTGTAGAGAGCCGATCCGGCGATGATGAGCGTCCCGATCGTGAACGTGGTACTCAGCACGGTGATGAACATGAGTGTCACGCGTCCCAGACTGGAGCAGCAGCCGCCGCCGCCGCCGCTCACAGAGTAAGCGCCACCGCCGTCATAGAGCGTCATCGCGGGAGGTTGGGGGCACCGCTGCCCGACCGCAGGAGGCGCCGGACACGGGCGAGGACGGACACGGTACGGATTATAGACGGGCGAGCGGTGGTGCGGCCTCGTGATCGTTTTCGTTCGGTTTCGGCTATGATATGAAAGTCGCTACGCGCAGCAGTAGACGGCAGATAGCTCAATAGGATGAGGATATCGATGTTACTGACGACCTATCGGAAATTCTTCACAAGGCGCATAGTTCACAAATCATCGAAAAACAAACACATTCGTCAAGGATAATCGATTGCAATGAACGCGATCAAGAACAAAAATCGCAATGAAACTGCCTTTGGATGGTGATGTGAACGTGCCTTCACACAAAAGATCCTCCAAATTTTAGTAGTTCAAAGGCGCTGTCATGGCACTTTCTCGGCTTTTAGTGAACCTTTCGGCCTCCGTCCTCTCTTCGCTTCAAAACACAAACGAATAAGGTGCTGAAGGTGGTACATTATATTTCTGTCCCACGAGCACAACACATTCTCCTATATTCGCAAAAAAAATAACTTTTTCGTCGAAAGGCGAGTCACGTTGTAAGCCTTTTTGTTATTCACCCAGCCGCTACGATCATATCACGCAGGTGGCTGCATTCACTCGCGTACGCAGAGGTATGTGACGAATCACACAGGCATACAAGCACACATATTCCCACAGTTCGGTGAAGTGACATCCGATCCCGTCCGGCCGCTGCACTGGTCAGGACTCAGGAGCGATCTTCACACCGCCCGAAATACGACTAGCTTTCTAGCATTCACTTGCGCAATACTTCAGCTTGCTTGCATAATCATCGTTCACAAGTATCCATTGAGCAGGGCCGCGGCTCCCCGTCGCAGTTTGAGTAATAATACGCGGCCACATACGAAGCTGCGCGGTCGGTCGGCGAAAACGCTCTGAGTATGTTGGTAAAATGGGTACAGCGTACCAGCAGCAGGCAGTACCGAAGCTGAGCATTAGCGCATCGGTCGGCGAGCGGTCGCCGTCACAAACATGACTAACGAACTGACTTGGTACATGGTAACGAATCGGTAACGCGATACTAGCAAACACCCACGCACGGGTGTGCTGCAGCGCCGCCCGCTGCCTTCCAGGCACTGCTAAAATACAAAATATATGTATGTCTACACTACCAACACCAGCTTAATCACGCTGCATTCCGCTACACCGGTAAAACTAGTCTGACTATGACATATGAACACAATAAGCGCTCTGCTATGGAAGGCAGGCTGGCCGGTCGGCGGCTCGGGTCGCAGCCAGAGCACCGAGGTCAACCGCTGAGGTATACGATATAAGCCCCTCCCAATCGGGAACACCCTTACCCGTGCTTCAGTGAGGTCAGACGTCAAACACAGAGGTCAGACGGCCGGAACCAACAACCAATATCAGGAAAAACACTCGCAAAAATAGGCAGGGAGGTCGCAAGTTCGCATTTGACTAAAATGTTGCTGCAGCGTTATTACTTATTTCACAAGCGTCATATGGTTTCATAATCATAAATAGCACCAGCCAGTAGCCACACACGTTAAATCAGCTCTGCACTAATAACATTGCTCTAAGAGGTATGTGTTGAGGCAAGAATTACATGCAGCTATCGAAGCAGCGTCTGAGCCTTTGTGACTCCAGTGAGATTACACAGGTAACATATACCTAATTAAACGGCAGGCCCGATTACGACGCTTCATTGGGTAATACAAGTTCAGGCCACTGGACTATTCAATGATTCGCAGCTGACCTGTGGCTCCAGCATCAGACACTAAAACCTAATGAACCTTGGGAATTCCCCATTCTCTCAAAAAATATGTTGAAGATCTCATATTAGACACCAAACCACCCGCATTACAAGCAGAACCGTTAAAGGCACCGAGCGCTGATCCCGGGACCGACCTGCCGACACTGACCCGGTAGGTCAGTGACCGCCAGGTCAGTGGTCGCCAGGTCAGGTCACGACTGACCGGGGTTCAGTGCCGGTTTCCGGGTCAGGTCGAGACCGGCCGACGGGGATGGGACATCCATCTTCTGTTGGGTTTCCGGAGGTGCCGAGTCCCTGACCAGCACAGGACCGGGCACCTCGCCGAGCGTCAGAGGTGATCCCTGGACAGGCACCGGGGGCGGCGCTAGTTCGTCTCTGGGTAGCCTAAATGGGCCCTGGAACGGCCCCGAGACCTCAGGACCTGCCGGTATTGAAGCCAGGGGGCCCATCGGTCCCGAAGCCAGCGATCCTGCTGCTCCAGACACCAGAGGACCCGCTGGTACCGACAACATAGGGCCTCCTGACACAGACAAGGGTACAGGCCCTGGCGCCGACCCCGGTCCCATCAGCCCACCCTGCCCCGGTCCAATCGGCCCGCCCTGTCCCGGTCCCAGCGGGCCACCCTGTCCCGGCGCGGAGGTTCCCCCGCGGTCCTCCGTCCCCGGACCGCCGCCGGCCGGCTGCAGGGACCACCCCACGGGCGATGGGACCCGCGGCGCCGACGGTACAGTCTTCCACGTCCGGCGGTGGTACTTGCTCTTGTGCACCTGCATGGCGTACTTGTTCTTGCAGACCTTGCCGCAGTCGGCGCAGGTGACCGGCACGGGGAAGTGCACCTTGCCGATGTGCGCCTTCAGCTTCCCGTAGTTGTTGGAGAGGTGGGTGCAGTGGGGACAGCTCATCAGGCGCGCTGCAAGGACACACCCAGCCCCGGCCGCAGGTCAGGTCACTGACGGCGCTCCCACGCCAACGGGCGCGGCGGGACTTTGTGTATCGCTAAGAATCTTAGTAGAATCATGGGCTCGTGTATCACTGACACATCTTGATTTATATCGAAGACTGTCGTTAAGCGTGTGTTTAACAGAGCAGCATGGCGACGACCGGTTTAATCAGGCATGCCGGTTAAGTTAAGCTGACTTTAAAGCAGGCTGGACGGACATCCACGGTTGAAAGCGGTGTTTTAGTGCAGACGGGTTACCATGTGGCATGTACAGGTGCGTGGTGCCAGGTTTGAAGCTAGAATCTGGAGCTGGTGAGACGTTATCGCGGGCCCAGTGCTGGCGAGGGCGGTTGCAGGCAGTGAATGAGCAAGTTGAGCGGTGAACAAAGTGGGCTGTGCAGCGGTGAACGGGTGGACGACTTGAAAAAGGGACGAGAGAAGTGGAGCGGCAAGTAGGGTGGAGCGGAAGACGAAATGGAACGGGGTAGGAGGCGGTTTGGTGAACGAGCTGAGAAAGCTGAGCCAGTGTGCCGATGCTCAGCATCACAGGGACCGTCGGTCATCCCGGCTATCACGTACAAACCATAAACCTTGACGAGAAAAGCGGTACAGGAGGAAGGGTTGTGCATGCCTGGACATTGGACAATTTCCATCAGCCTGGGGGGCAGGGTCAAATTCACCGCTTCATATCATACAAGTGCGGTGAAATAGCCGCTCCAACTCCTCCCCCCCCCCCCTCTAGTCAATTTGCCCGAGAGGAGAGGAAAAGGTGGTGGAAAGGTCGACTACTAACTGTTTCGCCTTCCTGTTGGAGTGATGTTGCTCGGTTGTGTGGGTAGGCGATGTTGGAGCTACACTGACTGGTATGGATTGGGCGCTCCTGTGCCGTGTAAGCTACATCACTCCCTCAGACCAGCGTTGATGCAGTCTGACGTATTCAACAATGTGCTCGTCACGCCGAAACCGTTGGAACTAAAACACCGATGTTAAATAAAATAGTAAATGTATTGAGTTGGCCCCACAGCTTCGTTGAGTAATATCGTGGAATGTCATTTTACAAGGCAAGTCCGTGTCGTACGCGCCGGGAACGGCTGACACGGTTTCACAGCACAGTTGTGGTCTGAGCCATTCACTATCTGACCGCTACAAACCCCTGAAAACAGTCCACGCCGCTAGAACGCGCGCGGTCCGCTGGCACCCCGGCACCACCACCATCCGACAGTTACACGTTCGCGGCGCCGAGATTACGCTCCATCTGAGTCCGCCCTGACCTGACCTGACCTGACTGTTTGACCGCACCGCCACCGACCGCCGGACACCACCCGGCGCGGCGCGGTCGTCACACCAGGCCATTAGCGGCCGGCAGCGCGCCGGCGCCGCGCCCAGCTAGTTTCAGGGACCCGCCGGCCGGCCGCGCCTCCGCCCGTCGGTGATACTTGATCAGGTGGGTGCGCAGCGAGGCCTGTGAGCGCAGCAGCTTGTCGCAGAGCTCGCAGCGCGACGGCACCGGGTAGTGAATGCTGGCCACGTGTTCGCGCAGGTGGGATCCCTTCTGGAACCAGCGGCCGCAGATTGGACAGCTGGCGCGCCGCGGCGCCGCCGGCCGACCTGCAACACACGGCCGGTCAGCGCCCGCTGACGGCGGCGGCCGGTCAGCGTCCGCTGACGGCGGCGGCCGGTCAGCGCCCGCTGACGGTGGCGGCCGGTCAGCGGCCGGTCAGCGCCCGCTGACGGTGGCGGCCCGGCCGGGGTGCGGCTACGTACAGCCGTACTGGCATCGGCTGCTGACAGACATGACTGCTACCACCCGGCAGCGTTCTGTCACCAGCCGCTGGCAGTATGCTGCCATCAGCTGCTGACAGCAGTAACTGCCACCAGCCGTCAGCGTTCTGCCAGCAGCCGCTGGCAGCTCACTACCATCAGCCACTGACAGCATGCTGCCGGGAGCGGACAGTATGCTGCCACCACAGCTAAGGTTGCAGACTGCCACCAATTGAGGACAGTACAGGCTGCCGCCACTACACCCAACTCATACTGCCAGCTGAGGTCACCAACAGCAGGCACTAGCCTCAGGCACCAGCGGAGGTCACCAGCGGCAGTAGGTGGTTAGTGCCGCCCGCGGTCAGCGCCCTTACACCCTTACACCTGACTGGGTGTAACAGGATTGATACACCCGGGTACCAGACCTGGGTGTCAGACGACTCTTCCGTCACCCGCGGGCATCGAGCGGCATCTGCCGGACAAACGTCCGACAGCCCAGCGCCCTCTACTACAGAGAGAGAAAGAGACCGAGAAGAAACACCAGCACCACCCAGTGGCGCAAGAACGAACTACTGCGGCGCCACAGAGGCGCCCCCGACATGCAGCCACTCCGGAGCAGAGGAGGCGCCGGCACCGGCCCCGATCAGAGAGCACCCAGCCGACAGTCTGACCGCAGTACCCTGCCGACAGACTGCAGGGGGCGAAAAGAAGGCCTACCGAAGGGCACGGACGGCACCGTGCAAATCATGAATACCAGCCAGCCACGTTCTGCGGCTCAGCAGCAGGAGCCGACCGTCACACTCTCATAGCTACCTCTACCCCCCCCCCCCCCCAATGCTCCGAAGTAACGGAGCAGCTCTGTGCCCCCCCCCCCCCCTGGGAGCACGGAGAGCGGCCCGGCCCTGTTCCCGCCGTAGGATAAAGGAGTGCGGTTTGCAATGGGAGCAGACAACACAGTCCGAGGCGACCGCACAATTTGGGAGTATTTGAAGCACGATTTGGAATTCAGCCCGTGTTCAGAGCACTGGCCGTGTTCGAAGCACGGTTTGCGGTGGGAGCACGGTCCGTAGTGAATGGTGGGAGCACGGTCCGCCGCCGAGGTGTGAACACGGAGCACGGAGCACGGAGCACGGAGCACGGCGCGGCACGGCCGTCGGCGCAACTTTCGCCGCCGCGCGGCCTCCGCGCGACTGCTCTCACTTTCTCCGGCCGGCGGCGGCTGGGTGACGCAATGGGGCCGTGGCCTGTCGCCACCGGCCGAGCGGCACGCCCAGCGCCGGGGCACGGCCGGCCCCGCCCGACAGGCCGGCTGGCTGAACTACCGACCGAGTGACCTGCCCAGCGAGCCAGCGACCGACCGATCGGCGGGGCAGGGTGGGCGAGAGGCACCTTCGAGACCCGAATGAACCAGACATGGTAGACATGGCGTCCTCACAAAGCTCCCGTTTTCTAGTTAATGGAACCTCTTGACTTCGACCTCATGACATTGTTAGGATTCTCAGTTACAATCAGCCGTTTCAGCCAGCCTTTGGTAAGCTCGCTAAAAATGCTGAAGTGCCTAACGAGTGCGTTATTGTCAGGTTTTCGGCATACCTAAGCACAAAAAATTGTCATGACTGGCAGCCTCTAAAGCAGAACATAGGACAACTCCCGTAGGTGATCAGGTTGAGGACAAGGGTAAAAAAAAAAGCAGATTACTTTCCGACCGGAAACCCGGCCGACCCGGCTGATCAATCATTCTATATTGGATACTATAAGTTATATAGGCGGGAGGTCGGGAAATCCGTCCATTAATAGTCACAAGGTGAACTGACATCCAGCTGAAATAAGAGCGATCCGAGCAGATCTATAAAATCCCCTAGTAATCATTTCTCACCTGCGTGATGCTGATTAACCCGCGCCCTGGTGTGGGTCTGAGCCACCTTCGCCCTGGTGGGGGGGGGGCCAAAATGACCCCCCCGTCTAACTCGAAAACGAAGAGGGCTAGGAAGACGCGGAAAAAAGCAAACGAAAGCCCATAACAAGTACGTTCGAAAGTATTTCGGTCATTTTTTCGCTAAGGTCAATATTGAGGTCGCTAGAGGTCATCATAGGTCAAATTTCAGTGTTTTCGGTGTTGCCGGACATATTCCGCTGTAGCTCGGAAACTAGAAGAGCTAGAGAGCCGCGGAAAAAAGCAATCGATAGCTCTTTTCAAGCTCTTTCGCCAAGGTTCGTCAGATTTGACCTCAGCTCAACGGTTTGGCCTACAGAGGTCATGCAAGGTCAACTTGGCAAATTTCGTTGAAAATGTTTTTAACTATAGCATGCATTCACGAGAAAATAGAGAAACGATTCATGCACCATCGTGCTTGGCTCGTCGAGACGCGTCGAATGATATATAGTTTGACCTCGAAAGGTCATTTTGAAAATTTGACCTCAGGTCAAGGTCATGACCTTACCGAAATAGGTCATGCTGCATATCATTCGATCCGCATTGACGAGACAAACACGATAAACGTCGAACGGAGTCTCTATCTCTATTCAATAACAAGTAAGTGCAGAAAAACCGCTGGTGACCTCTGGTGACCAGGGAGATGACCTAGCGTGACCTCAGCGAGGTCACAAGCAAATGGTTTCACATGGGCTGTGATTTGCTGACCCAAGACACTTCAATAACGAAATATAGGAACAATCACGCCCGATTTAGCTGAAAAACAACTACTTTTCGATTCTCCCATTGACTTATAATGGGGAGCAGCGATGACCTGACCTGACCTTAGGTCACATTTATAAAAAATCCGAGATAGCCATTTTGTAGAGCTGGGTGACATCTTCAAGTACTGTAAATTTTACATCGATCGGATAAAAGCTGTGCCTTTGAGAGAGCTTTGAACTTTTTTAGAGGTGGTGTCAGTTTTGGTGACCTTGTGACCTGACCTGACCTGACCCGAACCCCCAAAAAAAGGACATGATGTAAAAATGTTGAATAAACAGCTATACAAAGTTTCAGGGCGCTAACTCAAGTGGTTTCTGAGTTATCGCTGAAAAACCACAGGGGGGGGGGCCAAAATGGCCCCCCCCCCCACCAGGGCGAAGGTTAACGAGAGCCGGGACCACCACGGCGGAAATTAATCCCTGATAGACCATCACTGTCTAATTTTCTAGCAAGACAGTGGATCTGCTTTGAACCTGACCTGTGACGGCATCGAAAGCAACGAGGTCAATAAACTGAGTTTGTAGAAGGGTCTGATTACCAAATGTTGTTCCAATTTTAAAATTCAGCAAAACAGTTTCAGATATAGCAGCTGTGACGAAATGTCCTCTCTTTCTACGGCGACAATCCAGAAATGGGGAAAAGCCCTACGAGACGCGGGTTCAGAGATTCTCTCGTAACCCTCACCGGACCCATCCGACTCTTTCAGACCAAATGACCCAAACCGAGCAAGCACGAATCCCCTTCCGTCCGTTTCGTCCCTAATTGAGTTAGAGCTTCCCGGAAAAAAGCGAATATGCCCCTTACGAGATCCAGTGAAATAGCGTCATTTACAAGGCATCAGATCAACCGGTGACCTCTCAGGTCAGGTCAAACAAGATGGGATAGGGGCTCGTTTTTCGGTGAGCCATTCCACCAGAAATGGTCGCAAAGCCACGATTTTGGCTCCATCGTGTTTGTCATGCTCAGTCGCGTCGAAAGATATACATTTTGTTTGGAAAAGGTGGGATTGGGTGTTGATCCTCAGGTCAAGGTCAGTCACTCAGGTCAAAGACGATCAGGTCAGGATGGTGGATGAGGGACTAGGGAGGTCAGGTAGATTTGGGAATTCATTCTGAATTCATTGCTGCCTTTTCTGACGCACTATCTATTTAGTCGCGACTCGCGAGTTCATTCGACGAGAAACTCCGATAGCCTCAAACGACCTTTTTGACGTCAGGCAAGTTTGAAAATGCGAACCCTAAAGTCTAAACATTCTTGCAAGGAGATAGCAACTCCACTTGTTTTAAATCGTCTTGGATCACAAGTTGTGAATTGCTTACGAAGTCGGAAGTACAACGCAATTTGAACCAGAAAAAATGTGGAAAATGAAATCGTTGGTAACCAGAAAGGATCTGTCCATTGACCTGACCCAACCCAATAAATGCATCTAAGCTGTTAATACTTAATCGGTAGCTATCAGTACATCCCGTTAGACATTGTCAGGCGTTGTGTGCCGAGTGAAAGAAAACGACTGCCGATAGCGGACAAAGGGGCTCGTCTTCATGTGACAGGTCAGGTCGGACCAGTAGTATTCACTGTTTGATGTTTATGTGTATGGGCGAGCTGCTGATGTGCAGCTCAGCCTGCATCGAACTGAACTCACCATTTCTAGCATTTCTCTATTGAGTCACTTTAGAAGGTATGCTGCTGATGCAGAGGTGGTAACAAAACGCCCTGAAAAGACCGCATGCCGAGGATACCGCATGCCATACCGCATACCGGTCGTCAAAATTAGAAGTGAAATCAGTGCTGGATGCAACGATGCAGCATGCAATCCCATGCAAAGCAGGCAAGGCGACAGGTGTGGTAAGCAGGCAGAATCAGCTAGAAGTATCAGCAACATTAGCCAGGAAACATGACGACAGTCACGAGGGAATTGAGCTGGGTCGTGTTATATTTATTGTTTCCTCACGTTAGTTAATACGAACAATTTAAGCCGTGTGTGCAAAGCAATCAGCTCGTCTTATTTCATGGCTTCAAACTCAATGACAAAGGTTCGTAAATATCAGCACATTATGTTTACAAAGGCTAGAAAAAATAGCGAAATGGTTCAAAAAATTTGAGTGAAATGTCTGAAAGCTGAGGCAAAATCAAAGATGTCATTGTTGGCCAAGACGGTAATGTCTTTTTACGTAACCGGGTGCAATCATTAACCCATCCTATAAGTATTTGGCGTACTATACTATTACTCTGTATCACAAGATATGTCTGAGGTCGAAAGCGGCTGTGTCGGTGTGTTTGTGCGGTATGCGTCCCACAGGACATCCGGTACTCACTGACGGGATCCTGCGCCAGAGGAGACTCCTGACCGGTGTCGTAGCTCGCGCCCAGTGACGGACCAGGCTCGCCCGGCTGACCTGCGGATAACACAACACAGGAGACTGTGACATCACTGAAGCGGCAGAGTACCATTTTTCGTCATGTTTTACATACGAATAATAAAACAACGTGCCACCTGATACCCGACCAGAGGTCACTGACCTGTGCCGGTCTCCGGGGACGGCGAGGGCACCGGTCCGTCCGGCAGTCGCTCCGACAGGCCGTCGGCGGGCGCCGGCTCCGGCTCCGGCGCCTCCGGGCCCCAGTCCGGCTCCGGGCTGGGCTCGCGCTTCATCGCCCGGCCGGCCGGCGGTGAGCGGCGACGCCGCTTCTCCGGCGGCCCGACAGCTGGTGCAGCGGGAGACTCGGAGCCCGAGCGGCCCTGCCGGGAGCGGGGAGCGGTCAGTGACAGCAGACAGCGCGGCAGGCCTGACAGCGCGGCGGGCCGGACAGCTGGGCATGTCGAACACTGCAGACCGAACAGCTTTGCGGAACTCGACCGATCTTATTACACTATAACATTAAAAGAAACACCGTGCGAGGTACATTCACGAAGATCTCATTGTGACGTAACACGCAAAGTATTACGAATCACGACTCGCTTATCATGACACCCCTCAGGCGCCGGCGTACTTACATTGGTGGTGGGGTCGGCAGGGGCGTTCGACGGCCGGTCGTCGGCCAGTCCCTTGACCTTGAGCATCTCGGCCACCTTGAGGAAGTCGGCGAGGTGCGCCTGCGCGACATTCACCTCACCGTGGTACATGTAGTCGAGCAGCAGCTCCAGGTGGCGCCGATCCACGTCGCGCAGTATGACGATCGGGTGCGGGTGCGGGTTAGACTGCCGGCCGACCGCCCACGTCAGTCGTCAGTCAGAGGGGACACGAAACTGGATGGCAAACGCGGGCTCATCACACTGACAGCATTTGTTGGGGCCGGGTAACCCTAACAAAAACTATTTCAGAACAAAAAAAAAAAACAGTAATATAATGTAGGTATGTATTTATGCTGCCCCTCCACTTTCAATTCTGTGATAGCAGCTCAACATAAGACCACTACATATTAATCATGATCTAGTTACCTTGAGCAACTCCCTGAAGTATGGACTGCAGGCTGAAAGCACCATTCTGTGGGCCTTTGTTTGGAACCCATCACAGGCCACTGTGACATCCACAAAGTCTTCATCCAGACGCAGAGAATCAAATGAGTTGGTAATGTTCACATGATAATTGTTCCATTTAAGACGAAACTGCTGGCTTCCCTCCATGGTGACCTAATATGTGCTTTTCAGTGAGTTTTGCATGCCTGGAAAATAAATCAGAATTATCATTCTTCATTGACATCAGAAGGTGCATTCCTCATCGCATGTGGGGACAAATATTAGCATCATAACCAGCAACACTGTCATCCATACACACCGCCTGTAACACACATCCTGCAATATAACATAAATGCTACTGGCATATTATTTTAACATTTCTACATTGAAAAGCCACCAATATCTATTGAGACATGAGGCATTTGTGGGGCATAAAATAAAAGGAAATGGACATGGAACAAAATAAAGAGGACAAAGATGTGTGTAGCAAAAAGCAGCCTAACCATTTAAAATTGTTTAACTGCAAATAACTCAATGTGTATGCAATAATCAGGCACTGCAGCAGGCAGCTGGTATGCAATCAACTTTGAAATACTTTTTGTGTCACACAAAAAGAAGCATAGTGAATAACGCAAAACTTGATTCATAGCTATAAATGACTCAGCTGGACCAGCATCAGCATTAACTGGCAACACTGGTTCAATAAATCATTTGTAGTTGATCCATCTCAAAACGATTCATGAAATCAGAGTTACATGGTTTTCATCAATTGTTATGAATTCTTGCATATGCTCATAAGACTGGACTGTGGTTAGCAGCACATTCTTAGACTCAAAATGCATGCCATGTTCGCTAAGACGAATGTGCACAATTGGTCAAAATGAAAGTGAAAGTCAAATATTCATTGGTTTTCAATTGAATGGCGTGGAACCATTTTTTTAACCAGATATGCTATCATAAATAAAATATAACATACATGTGATAGCTGAACAAACATGCTATCTACATAATAATATCTCACCAGATTATTTATCATCTATTTTCATAAGGAGCTGAAAAAAATGCGAGCCTGTGCTACGATTGTCAAGCAACATACGTTAGCACAGGCCTAGAAATTGGAAAATCTTACCATTTAAGGACGAAAATATCTTGCAGCAGATACTCCCATGAACCGGAGAGGGATTCCGTTATCAAATAATAAAGAAAAATATCAATTTCATTCCTGTCCAACCGTCACCGCCGCGCGCCCGCGCCCCTCCGTGCCCTCGCTTTCTTTACGCACCGCTTTCGACACAACCGCGCAAGTTTACGCTTTTCTTGCGCTGGTCAATCTGGGAGCAGATTCATATTTGCGAATAGGTATGTCAGAACAATACTCGACCACCATATTGCATCAATTTGACCAATTTTATTCTATTCAGGAACTATTCAGGAACCACGAGGCCGATCTAGCCTCTAGGCACCATTCAACTTCATCTGGCCGGGCCCGGGGAGCCCGGGTGTAATCCCATTCCCAACCACTGCAGCCCAGGAGGGTTGTTTTCGCCCCCCCCCCCCCCGTGTAAATCCGTAAATAAGGCAGCAACCATACGAAGATAAAAGTAGAAAAACGCCAGATCTTTTGGAAGCGATTTCATGACACCTAAAGTTTTTGACCTCAGGTCAATTTTCAAGGTCAGCCCGTCAGAGGTCAAAGACAAAGGTAAAAATGGCACATTTGCTGCATTTGCATTGCAGTAATCTCAAACCCACTACCCAGCCAGCAAAATAAGCATGGGACGTATCTGCTTTTACTCTGGCTAGCTCCGGCATTTTACTCCGGCCAAGGTCTGGGGCTGTAGGTACCTATTCTGGAGCTGACACACGATACCGGAGCTCGCTCGCACCTCAGCCGGGCGTTATCCACATCAGCCGTGCCGTATCTCAACCATTAGCGTCGCCACGGGGGGGGGGGGGCAAGCGGGGCAGCTTGCCCCCCAACCTCGGACCGGGCACCCCCTGAGATTGATACAGATCCGATGAGATTTTGGAGTCGGGAAAAATGGGGGGGTACCTTTCTGAGAATGCCTGTGAGGTCAGACTCGGTTGGAGCGTGCAGTTCAAACCAGAGGCTGACTCGCATGGTCGCCAAAATCTTCAAGACTCGTGAGTCCAGACTCGGAAATGTCAATGCTGTGATTCATTCCATGTTCCTAGTTCGTTCTTTATTACATTTTACAGCTGATTTTCATAAGTTTTGGAGTGCTAACACAATTTTCGTTCAAAGCGTGAAACGAAACCTTCGGGGCCTTTCTCAACTCTCGTCAAATGTCTGCGACAGGCTCAAGTACCTACCGTACAAGTGTCGCAGGGCTCATGAGTTTGCTTTAACCCTCGCCCGCACATGCCATTTTCCCATCCTAGAACGCACATGGGGGGGGGTTGCCACCCCCCCCCCGCGCCATTTCGTTCCTGTTGGAGATAGAGCTTAGCAGTAAAGACCAAAAAGATTCTTTGGGAAGAGACGAATCCAATGATACCCAGTTTTACCTTCTCAGGTCAGTCATTGACCTTCCAGGTCAGGTCAAACTAAAAAATGTTGATGTTTTGGGTCACCGTTGGATATCAAGTGTGCTGCTTATCAAATACCGATGACGATGCTGTTTTCTGGTGCCAAGCCAGCTAGAACCTCTTTGTCACACTACCCGACCAGAATTTTGCTGCTGAGGTCATTTCAGGTCAAGTTAGGTCAAGGTCAATTATATGTGTTTGTATGTCTGTGTGTGTCTGTGTGTATACTGATGTGTGCACCGATTGTTTTTGGGTCCATATTACATGAAATCATGATCTGAGAAGCTTTTACCAAAAATGCAGTCAAAAAACTTCAAAAAAAGTAAATTCAGCTTGCCTAAAACGCAATTATCTTAGGTGACCTAGGTTGACCTTGACCCTGACCTTGACCCCTGTACATCGTCGAACAACATGTTCCATGATAGGTAGGAGGTAAGACTGGCAAAAAAGGCCGAAATCAGGGTGTCAAAAGCTCATAAGGCCCATGGCAAACGCAAGATGTTGAGAATTGGCCATTTGGGTCATGGCATGACCTGAAAAACAAGGTCATATCTCCAAAACCAAAAATCACAGAAACTTGAAATTTTCAGTGGACATCAAGAAAGGTTAGAGGAGCAGCTATACCAAAAATCAGCCTTCTAGCTCTAAAAATGTTGAGTGCAGAGCAGAAAGACTACCTGGGGGGGTGGCAACCACCCCCCCATGTGCGGGCGAGGGTTAACCCTCACCCGCACATGCCATTTTCCCATCCTAGAACGCACATGGGGGGGGGTGGTTGCCACCCCCCGCGCCATTTCGTTCCTGTTGGAGATAGAGCTTAGCAGTAAAGACCAAAAAGATTCTTTGGGAAGAGACGAATCCAATGATACCCAGTTTTACCTTCTCAGGTCAGTCATTGACCTTCCAGGTCAGGTCAAACTAAAAAATGTTGCTGTTTTGCGTCACCGTTGGATATCAAGTGCGGTGCGCTGCTTATCAAATATCGATGACGATGCTGTTTTCTAGTGCCAAGCCAGCTAGAACCTCTTTGTCACACTATCCGACCAGAATTTTGCTGCTGAGGTCATTTCAGGTCAAGTTAGGTCAAGGTCAATTATATGTGTTTGTATGTCTGTGTGTGTCTGTGTGTATACTGATGTGTGCACCGATTGTTTTTGGGTCCATATCACATGAAATCATGATCTGAGAAGCTATTACCAAAAATGCAGTCAAAAAACTTCACAAAAAGTAAATTCAGCTTGCCTATTGTTAACGCCAGACCCCTTGAGACCCTAATTTTTCGCGATTACTTTTAAATGCGTGAAGGAATTTCAACCAAGCTCAGGACATGGCCGTTTCAAGACAGGCCGAAACTTTTACAATTTAGATATTTTATCGCCATTTCAATATTTCAGGCACTTGTCATTGACTCGTAATGTTAACTGTTTTTCCATCCTGGATAGAGGCTTTCTACGTCATATGACATTAGGCTCCGCCCACGACTGCGGCATTAACCCGTGCCCATCAGCGACCTCTGTACAAACGACACCCCTGCCATCTGTGAAGGACTATGAATTTCGCTGACGCTTCACGTGCTATGAGTCAATTGCAGCAGACGGTCAAGTAAATGTTAGGCTCTTGTTGACTCTTGTATATAGGACCAAGAGGACCATCACTCCTCAACCTACTACTCAGTCGTGCTTCGAACAAACGTTAACGATTCCTAACAAATACGATTTTCGATGTAGGGTATCTGTTTGAAATACGAGCGAGCCGTATGATGTGAAGCTCAGGCAATTAACTATTATTGCGTTGTTCGATGGTTGCATAGCGATGTACAAATCGGTAGCTACTTGGTGACATCCGACATCCCATTATCGCATTATCTGCAACGCCATAGGCTTTAAATACAGGTGAATATTTCCTAACCAGTCAGTTATATGCCATCTGCCCGTCATATGCAGCTTATATAAATAAATAAAAAATATCAGCGAACATATCAGCATTGTAGAAGCAATGCGCATTGAGCATTTATGACTCCTTAGTCATCATGTCGCTCTCTGGGCACTGTCAGCCAAGACGCTACGCACAACTCCGCCGGCTTTCGGCACCGCTCGACAGTCGCCCGTCTCCGCTCCCCGCCACAGCGAGAGTGACCGCGCGCCGGCCCGAAACCGCCGCAGGCCAAGACCACAGAGGCGGGGCTTAGCTGTGACGTCATAACGTATCACAGACTGACTGGTGATAGCCTCTACACACCGGATGAAAATCTTGCTCGAAATTTAACATTACGAGTCAATGACAAGTGCCTGAAATATTGAAATGGCGATAAAATATCTAAATTGTAAAAGTTTCGGCCTGTCTTGAAACGGCCATGTCCTGAGCTTGATTGAAATTCCTTCACGCATTTAAAAGTAATCGCGAAAAATTAGGGTCTCAAGGGGTCTGGCGTTAACAGTAAAACGCAATTATCTTAGATGACCTAGGTTGACCTTGACCCTGACCTTGACCCCTGTACATCGTCGAACAACATGTTCCATGATAGGTGGGAGGTAAGACTGGCAAAAAAGGCCGAAATCAGGGTGTCAAAAGCTCACAAGGCCCATGGCAAACGCAAGATGTTGAGAATTGGCCATTTGGGTCATGACATGACCTGAAAAACAAGGTCATATCTCCGAAACCAAAAATCACAGAAACTTGAAATTTTCAGTGGACATCAAGAAAGGATAGACGAGCAGCTATACGAAAAATCAGCCTTCTAGCTCTAAAAATGTTGAGTGCAGAGCAGAAAGACTGCCTGGGGGGGTGGCAACCCCCCCCCCCCATGTGCGGGCGAGGGTTAACCCGCGCCCTGGTGGGGTCTGTTTATAACGCGACCTGGTGGGGGGGGGCTATTTTTTACCCCCCCCCCCTCGTATCTCCGAAACTACTGGACGGATCCGAAAAATTCAAACGGCGTTCGAAAGGCCTGTCAAATTTGTCGAAGGAAACCAAATTTTATTGACCTCGGGGTCACCGATGACGTCACAGGTCAGGTCAAAGATGAAATGTTTCACCGTTCACGGGTCTTCTAGGGAATGCGCTATAACACCGAGGAAAACGCATTTTGTCGGGAATCAGCGATAGGGCGTCAGTTGCCTAGTAGATATGTTGCTGTTAGAGGTCACTGGTCATACCAGGTCCGGTCACAGATCAGGTCACTAAAGGTCACCAAGGGTCACCACATGAACCCAACTTTACTAAGGTTATGCGATGCATGTTTTATGGCCAGTTTTTCATTTCCAACTCAATGGTGTTGGTTATAAGACCATCAGGTACGGTTTAGGTCACTTTCTGGTGGAGGTCAGCTCAAGGTCAGGTCAAAAAAGGTCAAATTTCAAAGTTGATATTTTTGCATAAAATGGGTATTGATTCGATGCAGCTCGTCACGGGGAGTCTAATGGTGGTCTTTGTTTTGCGCTACAAGGTCTAGAATTGCTGAAAATTGAGTTTGAAAATTTGACGTCATCAATTTTGAACAGTTTTTTTCGCTATAACTTGGCCAAAAAAAGAGGTATCGATCTCAAATTTGGTATGTAGATAGAACGCGGTAAGGACTATCACATATATTCCGGTTTTTTCGAAATTCAAAAAACTTTTTGGATTTTTTGGCTATTATATTCAAAAAATCTATTTTTTGATTTTTGGAGGTCAAAATCAAAAAATTTCAAAAATCCGAGATAGCAGTTTTGTAGCCCTGTCTATTCTACAGCTTTTATGTCTGTATCATTTTTCTGTATTTGCAAAGCTATAGGCCTGATAG